AAATGATTTTATCACTGGTCTAAATTGTTAATGTTTTTAAGCACTTTGTGAATTTGCAAAATTTAGAAACATAAAAAGTCGTAATTATGTAGCATTTTGATCTGAATTTGCAAAAATTAATTGATGTGAAAATTTCCAGATTAATGATACCTAATAAGAACATAAAATTTACTGTCAGTAGACAAAATATGTTTATTTGGAAGTGGGTTAATTCTTGATATGTGCATGTAAATAAAAAATATAGCTAAAATTCTAGTTTTATTATTCTGAAGTGGACGGGAAAGGTGATTCAGATACTAAGAGATCAAGTATTATGCATACAAATATTTCTTCTTTTCAAAATTCCCAATGCCAATATGAAAACTTTCTGTTTTTCATTACATAATATGTTGAAAGAGTTCTCTTAAACTTTCTTTTAGAAATTGCACTTAAAATGTGAAGGTACACAATAATGATCTAAATACAAGCATAATGTGATACTTTCTATAGTAAATGTAGTGTATAATTCATAGTTATTTCAATTCATTTGTTAAACCTCTGTAATTACAACAGAAATGTATTTTGTGATTGCACCATGAGATCTGCAGGTTTTACTCTAATCAAAGTTTCATACTAAATATCAAATAACTGTCACAAAGTAAAAGGCCCATGGGCCACAATGCTCATCTGAGTCAATTGCTTCCTTATAAATAAGTATACACAGACCATTGAAAGCCCTGATTGTGATCACCAAACTGGCATCAAAGATTTCAACAATATTATGCCATGATATGAGTCTCGAAGTCAACTTTACAAATTCCAGACTTCGTGATCTAGTATATATAATTTTGTATGAAACTTTGTTCCCTTCTGAAGCCCCAATCTAGACCCTGCAGCCATGCTTTAAAGAAATTTGAATCGTTACATCAAGATGTTTGCATATTGGTATGAAGAAGAGTGGCTCTTCTTGAGAAAACTTTTAATAAATATTTCCATGCAAAACTTAATACCTACTGTGACCCCATCCAGAGGGCATGACTTGTACAGAATCTTTATCAACAATAGACAGGGATGCTTTAATTATCTATTTTACTAATGACAGCTCTGCTGTTCTTTAGATGTCTTTTATAGTTTCTTTTTTTTCCCTGTATATATTATTTTCAATGTATTCCTATGTAAATTTTTTACCCACTATTTGGTCCAATCCCAGCAAAAGGTCCATGATTTGAACAAACTTGATTCTACACTACACGGGGATGCTTGTAGATTAATTGAGGCCCTGCCATTTTTGAAAAAAAAAAAGATTTTAAGATTTTCCTATATATTATTATATACTTAAGAAAACTTAAAAATATTCCATATTAAATGTTGACCCTATATTGTGACACCCTAGTGTAAGGGGCAATAATTTGAACAAAATTGAATCTACATATGTTAATATGATTGTTAACATTGATCTTTTGAAAAAAAAAATCTCTCTCCTTGATTAATTTAGACCTTACTGTTCTTAGGAAGAAACTTTTTATACATACAGTTGAACTTCGATATCTCGAATACCATGGATATGTCAAAGTGATTTGGAAGTCCCAACCATCTATTCTTTAAGTATTTTACCCTTGATATCTCAAATCATCAGATATCTTGAAGTTTTTTCTCAGTCCCATCAAGTTCAAGATAACAAGGTTTGACTGTACTTTCTCATATAAAACGTTGACATCCCATTGTGACCCCAAGTACTGAGATATACACAAAATTTTTCTGGAGGAGAAGTATAAAATGTGAAAATTCACATGACCAAAAGACAGACTCTGGACACCTCTGAATCAGAAAAGCTCACTTCAGCCTTTGGCTCCTGTGAGCTAAAACTATCTTTGTGTCCATAGCAAATGTATTTTCAAAATAAAAAATCAAGTTCAATTTGAGTGCCTCATAAAACATTTGAGTATCCTTACAAATTATGTAATCCTTGTGTCTTTCTATGGATTATGTTCAGTTTCAGTCTCACCCTCAGAGGTTGACAGGATTGGAAGGTCCTCTAGAACAATATTTGCGTCACTGTTGATTTGTAAAACAGAGAGGGCTTGTAAGATATCAGGGTACAGGGGTCTCTCATCTGGATTTACACTCCAACATCTCTCCATTATAGCAAACCTTAAAATATATATGGGAAACCGTTACTTCAGAACTGAATGGTTATCTTACATATAATTGTAAGTATATATAACCTTGTTATTTCAAAATTTTAATAGCATAGAAAAATTAAATGAAATACAAATGAATACCCTGGTACTTAGCTTCCGTTTTTAGAAATGATGATGCATTTGAAAGTTTTATAAATTTTTTGTTGAACAATAAAAATTGACAAAATATATTTCATTAAACTGGAACACAGGAATCCAATAAATGTTTCTTAAATTTTATCTAACATACAGTTCAGAACTACAGTGCTGAGGCTGAGACATGCGGTATCCTGAGAGAACTTTCTCTTTCACTTCATCAATGTCCATAGAGGGATATGGCCTTAATCCTGTGGGAGATGTAACAAATTTATAAATATAAACAAGTATATTTTTTTAAAATAATTATTCTTTAAAGGAGTTTCATGTTCTTAATTTTAATATTGCTTTTCATCTCCTCTAACACTAAAATACACATACAAACCTTAAAGACATGTACAATGAGAAAGAATGTTTCACTGCTATTAAATTTGATTATTATCCTTCAGAATTACTCGCACAGTCATTCTGATTGACTTAAAGCATGTCATGTGCAGGGAGACAATTTCTGATGTCTCCCTCACACGCAGGGTGACAACTGTGTTGTCTCCCTTCAGATGACAATGAAATAGTGCAAAAGAGCGGGCAGGGTAATAACTGTGTTATCTCCCTTTAGATGAAAATAAGTGTTGTAAGCAAGATAACTCATATTTATAAGTATATAACTAATATGGGGGATCGGTATTCAATAAATTCTAAGTGTGATGTCAAAGTTGTCTGTTGATATATTTTGAAAGTATGGAAACGTAGCAGTGGTTAGAAGAACACAAGAGGTTTGACTGATATTTTCTACTCTGTCTTAACAATTTAGTTTCTTCAGGATAATAAAACAATTATGGACAGTTTAGAAGGGAGACATCACCAATTATCAGGCCCCGGGGCCATAAAATTTAGACAAGCTCACTTTTGATCTCAGTCTCACTTTACCACTATTAATTCCTTTGGTAAAAGTGAGACTGAGATCAAAAGTGAGCTCGTCTAGGTTTTATAGCCCCGAAGCCAGGTCTGAGTAGAGTTGTCATCCTTGGGCGCAAGTGCCCTTGGGTGACAACCCTACTCAGATCTGATAATTTGTGATGTCTCCCTTCTAAACAGTCCATAATTGTATAATATCAGATGTGTTCATGTGCTCCTAATAATATATTTAGACGTATACATGCAGGTCAATATTTCAGGAGACCATTATGATGAAGCTACATGTATTTAAAGCTGCCCATCCTTTAGGTTCTCAGAATCAGTAAGTTAATGTTTACAATATTAATTAGTACAAACGTGGATATATAACGAAATTATGGATTTAGCAATATTTTTATTAAAATTTTTCTTAACAATTTCTTGTAAAATTTTATGGTTATAATGAACTCTGATATATAACAAATGTAAGGATAAAGCAAATTAATTTTGTGTCCTGTGGAGATTTAAAATAATGAATTTATAATAGCAAATTCTTTAATATATCAGATACTAAATTATTGAATTGGTGTTATCTTTTATAAGTATTTTAATTTGAAATTTAATTACAGAAAGCTTTAATTCCAAAGTAACCATAATTGTTAGTTTAATACTTCCCTAACATATACAGTAATCATACTTGAAGGAAAACATGTATTTGAATTTGCTATTTAAGGAATCACTGTCTAGTTAGTAGCGTATGCCAGGGCATCAACTATAGTTGGAAATGTGGGATAATTTGCATAACGGGCTTTGCCCGTTATGCATAAAATTATCCCACGTTTCCAACTATCGTTGATGTCCCTGGCATACTCTACTAACTAGACAGTGATTCCTTATATTTTCATTTCATTGTGAAATAAAATTGTAAATTTAGATTATAAAAATGTAGACTAAAAGATTTAAATTACAAGAGGCCTCACATGTCAATTTCAATAGTCCCCGCCCATTGACGTCAAACACAAAGACAGCCGCACGAGATTTACATGCATATTAGGCCTCCTTAGCGTCAGACACAAAGACAGCCGCATGAGAATTACATGCATATTAGGCTTTCTTAGCTCCTGACCTTTCGCTTGGCGAAATTTACATTCCGGTAGAATGATCAAGAAATCAACTCAACTAACTTTCAAAGAGTTATCACATAGAAAACAAATAGAAATGGAAATATATATACTTCAACAAGAAGAACCTGTCTGTCACACATTTGACCTGAGAAACTGAAGATTTTTTTGGGGGCCTAATCTTATGAAATTTGCAAAAACAGCACAAGACATATTACACAAATGATTTTAAACTTTATAATTATTTCAGTAAACACTGATAGGCGAGTTAAGTTTGAAGAAAAAATCACTTCATCAAATACCTTTTTAAATGGTTAAAAAATATTCTTATAAATCAGAAGTGTATAGTAAAAATGTATTAAAATTTTTTTATGCCAAGTCAGTTGCATTTAAACATAATTAATATAAATGACAATATATCATTATTGCAAGACTTAATTAATGTTTCTGGCTGTGGATGTTTATCTTTAAGCTACTTAAATTTTTAATAAAAATACCTGTTGTATTTTCTTACCAAAATGTATAATCTGCCACAACAGAATACCAAAGGCATATGTGTCGGTCTTTGTATCAAATATATTTTCTGATAAAGATTCTGGTGCCATGCAGCGAACAGGTAGAGATTCCTGTAAGTAATTTAGCATCAAAAAATCAACATTGACAACCTTGATCTACTGTGTATAATACAGCATCAAACTTATAGAAGTAGTGTTACCTTTTCATACAAATTCCTTTCTGTTATTTCTTTCTGAAACATAAACCCTGATAACTTGCACACTCCTCCCTTTGCCACAAGGACACTGGATACAGACAATTGGTAGTACAGGAGCTTTGCATGGTATAAAAACATACAGTGTTGGTATATTAATGAGATATAAATTGACTTTTCTTATAATTCTACATTTAATTTCATATTCAATATAAACAAATATTTATTATACATATAAAATTCTGCTGCAAGGATAATAATAGATGAATAGAATTTCTTGTTGTCATAAAATATATGAGATATATAGAGGAAATCAACAAGATTAAATACCTCTATGAATATCAAGATGACCAAAAGGTACACTGCATGGAAATACAAACATGGGTGGGGGGAGAAAGAATTGACTACCTTATAAGATTAAGACTATTAGTCTAGTGTTTATTTTGCAATTGATTGCTAAAATAATAATAACTAGTGGTGTAAAATCCCAAATATGGCTTAACTGACAAAATAGGGACTTTATTTAGTTTATAGATAGTTGATTAACTGATGCTGTAATTATTTAAAAAAAAAATACAATATGTACATGATATCAGAGCCAAATGTAAAATATGAATAAAAGCAGTGCTTCCAACTCAATTTTTTTTCTCTTTTGATCAATTTTTCTTTTTGGATTAATCAATAGTGTTTCCAATTTTACTGCATTTTATTCTTTGAAATTTGCCATAAAAATCAAAACTGGCACAAATATTGATAAAACCACCAATGTGATTTTGATCTATATATTACATGGTCATATTCATCTGCTCTCTAGTTTCTAATAATAATTCTGTGTTGATGACCTACCTTATATTTTGTCAAATGCAGTAACCCACTGATGACCTGAGAAGCCAGAGACAGGAGTTTCTTGGCATCTATCTTGTTATTCTTAAGCCTGACCATCTCCTGGGATTGAATCTCTACACGGTGTGAACCAGGTCTATGTTTCTGCAGATATTTATGCAAGGTTCCCTCATGTGCATACTCCAGCATCAGCATCCAAGGTTCTGGAAAAATAAATCAGTTGTAGACAAAATAAAGATCAAAATAATTAAATGGTCCTTTTTACTTTTAAGTGCATTGCATAGACATTGTTAACAAGGCAAATTGAAAATAGTGTATATGGTTATCAAATTTTAGCAAATAAAAGTATGAATGCAAAAATGTATACATGTATATGGGTGAATTAAAAAAAAAAAATGACCACCAAACTGAATTTTTTTGGAAAAATTCAACTACTTATAACATATTTTTCACTTATATCATCATATTGCACATGCATTCTAGTTTAAAATCCTGAAGTGGCAATAGAATAGACAATTGGATTAAAAAAAGTTCAGAATTTTTATTATTAAAATTTCTTTTGAAAAAAGAGAATATCATTACACCATAAAAGACTTTCTAAAATACATAATCACAAGAAATTATAGTTTTTTATGCTTCAAAATGGTAAAAGGGTTATAAATGATTAAATCTAGACCTTGATTGAATATCTTCTCTTGTATATGTGACAAAAAATGGGCCTTTTGATTGTTATTTTACATTATTTTTTCAATTCTGGTTTGAAAAGTTTTAATATGAAAAAAATATGAAGCAATAAAATTCACTTTTTTGTCCGTTCATGTCAATTCTTTAATTCTAAGGCAAAAAAGAATTTTTATATACAAGTTCTCTTACAAAAAATACTAGATTTTGAAGTCACACATGTTACATTATTGTGTTGCACTCCTGACATCTGATATGTATTTTATTTAACATTGATTTAAAAATTATAACACACAATGACCCATTCTTACTTTGTAAATCAATTTGTGGTTTTGATATTTTTCATCATTTACAGCAGGTTTTTCATATTTTGAAGACCTTAAAACATGATTATTTGAAAGAGTAATATATATAAGTTGTATTTAAAAATATATGTGAAATGATGAAAACTATTCCCTGAATTGACTGTAAAATTTCTGTAATTTGTTGATAGACATAGTGTTTTGAATATCAAATAGTATCAAACATTTATTTTCAACTTATTTTTTAGTAAAGATATTTAAAAGGCATTGGTAATTATAAAGCATTTTTGTTGCACTCCTGACTGCAGTAAAATTTAAAATTAAAACCATAGAACACAAAAATTCATAAAGTGTTGGCAACATCAAGTGGTAATGAAATTGTTTATAGTCCAATAGTTCATAATTAAAACAGATGAAAGTATTTAAAATTCGCATTTTATCTGGAATTATTCCTTATTTATGCCAAAAAACTAGCTTAAATGTATATTTAGAAGATAAAATATATTTTATAGCATATTTTCCTTTAAAGGACCAACTCAGTAACCCACCAGAAAAATTCTACTCATCATTTTTTCTTTATTTTTATTCTTATTGGATGATTTATAATTCTAACATATTTGTTGCACTCCTGACCAAAAGCATTGAGACCTATAAAGTAGAATTGTGAAGTGAAAATTACATAAGAACTTGTTCTGTTGTTTCAGTGAAGTTAAGGAGGAATTACTTGAATTTTATGACATTTTTTTAGTGTGTTTATTTTTAACATTCATTAAAAAAATCACAAAAAAGATAAAAACACATCTGAATTAATAAAATTAAAAAAGGAAGGATTTTAATAATAAAACTGTCAATAATTTAGTTCTAAATTATACAAAAACATCATTATAAATTAATGAATACCTCTAAGCATGAATAGAAGTGTTTTCGTCACACAACTTGAATCTTTTTAAAAATAATGTGTTGCACTCCTGACCATAGAAATATAGATCTGAAGCACAGACAGATCCTGTAATTGATAAATCTATTTGGTAAAAATGTTCTTTGTGTCTTTATTTTCCGAAATAAAAATCAGAAAATCATATAATGATAATAGTTTTTTCATGCTTGGGAGCAAAACATCAAATGTTGCACTCCTGACATTATTGGGTATGCACATATACTTGACTCTCATTAATGCTGCTTGTGATTTATATAACATTTTTAAGTTTTAAAATGTATATCAGTTATTGTTTTACACTTTAAAAATTCTTTTTTGTCTGAATTTTCTTTCAGAATTTTACAATTGACGTTTTTTAGGCACCGGCCACTACATTTTTTCTGTTGCACTCCTGACATGGTATAACATTTTTTTAAACATCAGCCATGACCACAACTTGATTAAATAAAAGTTACTACAGTCCACATTTAAAGCTCAATACTTTGAATATTATCAGGAAAGTCTTTATTTTCAACATAAAGCATTATTATTTATTTCACAGATCTCCAAAAAATATTGAAATTTCAAAATGTCACAAAAAGGTGTTGCACTCCTGACAGTTTTAGTATCATTTTTGGGCATAACTTTATCGTTAATTGAGATATCAACGAGATATTTGGCAGGTATTTAGACACTATCTAAAGACATATGCTGAGACATAGATATATATTTTCATTGCCTGTATTTTTAGTGTGGGTTGATAAATATGCGTTTGGTCATTTTTTTTTAATTCACCCATCTGTACCTTCAGCTTTCATATAATTACAATTAAAACTGTTCCATCTTTTTTTTAATACGAAAATCAACAGTTTCATTCCGTTAATGTTTTTCAAAGATGTTTCTGATTTTTATTTTTTGGCCAAAAGAAAAGTGACATAACCAGTTAATGCTTAACATGCATTAAGTGTGAATGATCATTTAGAATTACCAGTTAATGTGTAGCATCCAATAAGGGTGATCACATTACTGTGAGCCTTCAATGTTTTCATCACTTCCATTTCTGCCAGAAAGAACTTCCTGCCCACTTCTGATGCATCATCTGATCAGAAAGAGACAAACTTTTACAACAGCTGCTATAAAACTTTAAAAAGTTTCTTTTTAAAAAAAAAAAGAGAGAACAAGAACTAATTAAAGGCCAACAGAACAAATAAATATGAACATGGAAAGGGAATCATTAGTACAAGACTTAGTAAACCCTTTGCTGTGACCATCAAAGTCCAATCAATTTCCAAAATTTCAAATATTTGAATATTAATTTGTTGAGGTTTAATGTCAACTTCAAATTGTCACAAGACTATCTTGTTTTTGTTATCATCAATATTTTTATGTGTAACCTTTTGCACCCCCCCCCCTCAATTATGGTCCAGGCCTTGTCTCTAGAGACCCATGAACTGATTCTACACCATATGAAGATGCTTGCATATAAATATGACTAACTATTGTCCTGCTGTTCTTAAGAAAAAAGATTTTCAAAGATTTTCCATATACATAGCCTTTTATAAAACTTAGACCCTCTGTTGTCTCCTGACCCCACAATCCCTATTTTGAAAATTGAGGAAATCCACTGAGTTTTTGATATCATGAGGATAAAATTAGCCATTTATTCCCAATTTTTATGTGTTCTGCTAGCTGTCATTACACTATACAAATAGAAAAGTACATGTATTAGTATATTTTGATGAATTTGTAAAAATTTTAGGCTGAAAAAGTAGATTTATGCCAAAACATCTCCCCTAATCCTTTGAAATTTCCAAGAACATTAAGTACTTCATGTACAAATACCTAGGAAAATGAATGATACCCATGTAACACTGTAAGATTGCTATATCCCATTTATAAGGTTCATGGCAAAGGGACTTTCAGTGTTAGTAAACAAATACTTTATATTTCAACATGTACCTAGCATTTTCTTGATGGCCACCCTAAGAACATCTGTACTGTCTGAGTGTTTCCTCATCCTGCCCCTCCAGACTTCACAATATGACCCTGTAGCAATAAGGTCCATCAAACGGACATCTCTCTTGGGGATTTCCCAATACTGACCAAGTCTCCTGTACTGACCTTGGGCCTACAATGGAGTCTGACACTTAGAATTAAAAAAATACTATCAGAATAAAACTTTCAATTCTGTTTTGTTCTCAGACTCAGTAATCTATCTATATCCAAAATGACTATAAAAATTACTGTATAACTGGAAATTTTAGATACATGTAGTTTAAAATTTTGTGAATCTTGTAAACTTGCTTATTATTTTAAGAGAAACGGGAGAATTCATAAAACTGACACTGAAGATAAAATTACAATGGTATGAAATGCTGGCAAAAATAAATCTGAGAGAAGTATGCATTAGTGCTAACAATGTCAAATTTAGATGAATGTTATAATTTCTTGTCAACAGTAAATTTAATTTGTCTGATTAGTGATAAATATATCACAAATTTCATCATCTCTAACGTTTAACATTCACTTACAAGACCATATTCATTTCATAGTCTCAAAGATAAAAAAAAAAATACATTCCTTGAAGTACTTTAAATTAGCATAATACATTGACATACAGGTACATTTTTAAAGAAACCTATAATTCTTGTATGCAGGTGTGTCCCCCTTACCTCCTCATTTCCTCCATTTGGTGTTATCATATCTTCATCTAACAATTCCTGATCATCTGTAAAATCATCCTGGACAAGGGACATTCCTTCCCTGTATTTCCTCTCTCTTGCCTAATTACCAGATGGAAACAAAAATAATTTTTACAAATCAATGTCCTCAGTAACACAATAAAATTTATTTTATGCTTATTTTTTTTTCTAGTTTCAGAGTTTAAGTACAAAACAGAACAAGTTTATGTAAAATGAAACTTCTTTATTACACACATACCCTGAATTTGATGGCCAGCAGGATGAAGACTACAATCAACAGAATGGCTAACAGTGAACTGACAACAGCTCCTACAGCATAGGCATTGACTGAAACAAAAACCAAACCATTAGTTCAATAGTATCCAGGCCTATATTAAACCTCAATCACTACAATCATTGACAGATTTCTCGACAAAATCAACTGTAATACATCAGGAATTGGGAAACATTCAAGACTTTGCAATTATTAATGTTCATGGATGCATGTACAGTAATTGAAAAAGCAATCTAATTAAAATTAGACTTGATCCAAAACAAAAGGCATTTATTGGCCTGAAAATCATTATTTGTTGCCTGCCTATTATAAACAAGGTAATTTAGGAACATTCCTCTCTCAACTCTACATTTCAAATGTATTTAACAATTAATTGGCAGGGTAGCATTATTAGGAAAAAAATAACACTTGTCTACAAACATATGATCAAAACACGAAATCCCTATAAATATGACACATGTATTATCACGAAACTAGCTTAAAGTGCAGCTTGTACAGTATAACTCAGCCGTAAACAACTGGCTATAAATAAGGAAATATCAGTCATAAGGAATCGAACTTTCTTCGAATCCCAAAGAAGACTTTTCATCATGATCTTAACATGTATATAAAGAATCTCCGTAATAAGGAAGCAAAATTTGAGGTCCCAGTGACTTCCTTATAACCGGGTTTTACTGTACAAAGTATAAACACTGATAATGTTCATAATATATATTGTATAATGAGTCTTGTAATTCAACTCTCCTATAATACACAACAAAGAGAGGAGTTGAATTACAAGTCTTTGTAAAAGTAAACATTAATTACCAGTAGATTGCTGAAAAAGGTAACAAAATTAAGCTTTACAAATACCAACTGGAAAATCAACATACATCCTGTAAGGAAATCTCAGATTATTACTTACAGTTAATGTCTCCATCACCTTTGTCCTCCATTGGCTTTGGCATCATTCTGTACTTAGGTTTTACAGTTGTAACTTTATTTTCTACAAAATTGACAACTTTGATCATTTTCTCTACTGCCTGAAAATGATGCCTTATCTTCAAAATACTTAATTTCTTGTCAATGATTAAGCTCGATTGCATTAAAACAAAAGACAGTGGATGGGGGTGATTCTATTACTGCTGAAATTGATTTAATGAAAAAATATTTTGGAATAATTTATACTATTTAAATTTCCAGAATTATATTAAAATGACAATATTTTGAAAATAAAATCCATATTTTCTTCTCTTTTTTAACCTGTAAGTGCATTCTCATCATATTTTAACAAAAATTTTGTTCTTACCTACTATATTCAAGAAGACAATCTTAGTATCTGTATATTTTGTATGATTAATTTCATTGTGAACAATGCATGTATAGTTTCCAATGTCATTTCTGTGGGCATTGACGATTTTGTAAGCTGGATGGGTAGACCTCACAGATTCATTGAGAGGGTCAGAAAGGGGGGTGAATGTCCACGTGTAATGGGGGTGGGGCTCTCCTATGGCAACACAACGTAGAATAATGTTGCTTCCCTCTTCATACACCTTTTTGTATGGACTAAGAATTATATCTGTCTCCTTCACAGGAACTGTTAATATAGATGTGCAAATTAATCAAGGGCTTAATAGATATCATTTTTATCCATTCTGAATTCAGAATGTTTACACAATGAATTCAGATCCATTATCAAATACATGTGCTCATTTAATATTTCCCCTGCTTATGCTTACAAGCAATAAATTCTTAATGTCAAACTAGTGTTAAATTTATATACTTACAATAAACTTTCAGCTTTGGGAGAGCTTGGCAGATAAAACCATTATGGACATAAGGAAATGTAACATGACATATGAACACCTTTCCATCATCCTCCTCTGAAGCATTCAATGACATACGAGCTAATGTGTATGTTTCATTTTCGAAATCAACAGAGAAATTCAGCCCTCTGTTGCCATGTTTCCAACTCACTTCAGGTCGATTGTTTCCATGAAAATTCACACTGCAGTCAAAATATGCTTGCTGGTTAACTACCACACTACTGTTGTAATTATGGCAGTAAGGTTTTTCTAAAAGAAATAAAACTTTATTTATTTGAAATACTTGTAACTGGTAGTGTACACAGAAGAAAGAAGCTAATAGACTAAGTTTAATATCTTAATTTTTCTTTGTCCTGAAGATGGTACAGGACATCTTGAAAATTTGACCATTTCCCCCATTCTTGTCATGGGTCATTATTTATTTAGTGCTATATTTCAGAATGCTAGGGATTCATTTACAAATATGGTGCTGCTTTTCTTAATTTTTTACCTAAGAATGGTGTGCAGTCTATGAATTAATCTGATGTAAATTTCTGAAGAATATATAAGATACACAGAATCAATTAGCAACCAGTCCTAAAAAAAATAGAACTGATATTGACTTTAAAGTGGGTAAATATTGCTCAAGACTGATAATATATGTTGAGATAAGAAGGAGATGTTTGAAATTACTGAAGTCCATATATTGAAAAATTTTAACACCATTTACCATATATACTCGCCTATAAGTCGTTTTTTTTTTGAGAGTTAAATTTTGGTCCAAGATTCTCTGTCCGACTTATAGGCGAGTCATAGAAAGATTGGTATTTTTCTCAACGACAAAAGGTAGTATTTTATAAGCAATCCCCCCGATTATTGTTGACCAAAGTCTTTATATATTAAATCATTTATGTATTTTAAGATTACATAGGTTACTGCATAAAGTACAAATATTTATAAATTCTAATAGTTTTATTTTTATCTAAAGTGTGCCTTTAATAATTTTAAATTAAATATTGATGTCATTGACTGAAACAAGGTTAAAACATGACAGCATTGATTTGAAATTGTCAACTAATTCTGGCAAAAAGTTGTACCGACTTATAAGCCGGTCAATGGTAAATCCCTCCAAAATAACTGCAAAAAATACAACAGACTTATAGGCGGACAGACTTATATGCGAGTATATACAGAAATAGGTCAAAAAAAAAAATATATGGACTGCAGAAGATTATATCGATTTGTTATAACTCTGTGAATTTTTTTCTATATAAAAATATGAAAAATAAACCTGCTATTTTTTCCAAACAGCCCCTACCGTGGAATAGTTTTTGTGCTATTTGCCCATGGTGAAATAGTCATTAAACTATTCACCGGCAGCATTCTGTTTCCCTCGCTTTTCATCTCAGAACTCTTCTGGTTTTATCCAGATTGTGACGTAACACAAGTAAAGACTGCTTCGGTATAATAAAACACTTATTTACTGACTATTTGGACAAAAGCAAGTTTATAGTCCCCCTCGACAGCAACTATTTCCCTTGGCTGCGCCTCGGGAAATATTTGCTGTCTTGGGGAACGATAAACTTGCTATTGTCCTCATAGCCAGTAAATTGGTGTATAATATCCTAAGTTGTCAACATATCCAAAAGAATGTAGTTATCATTTTCTACCATAGAAAATGGAGCCTTACCTATTACATACAGTTCAAATGCCTTGTTCTCATTATTAAGAGAACAGGAATAAGTTCCAGCATCTGAGAAGGTTATATTTAAGATATGAAGAGAAGTGTCAAAGTCACTTTGGTAGTGAGTATTGTTGTACTTTACAGAGGAGGTGGGTAAGGCTAATCCATTGCTGTACACTTCATGAATTGTCCTAGGTTCTGTTTCTCCTACTCCTGCAAAATATATAAACAATCAAAATATTCTGCACATTTAGTATTTAAAAAGTTTCGACTACTTTTTTCTTTTATTTTGAAAATTGAAATTCAAAGGATGAGCTCATATATGTACACTACAGTCAACTCTGATCCCATATTTTCCCGCAACACTGTGATGGTGTTTTAATCCTTTCCACAATACACCATTGCAGTTTTATCATCATGGTGATTACAAAGACCCAAGAATACCATGAGGGTATCTCTAGATTTTATCACCTAAAAATTGGGACATTTAGGTCACTGAAAAACAAAATCAAAAAACAAACTTCCACGCCATAATTACAGTCAAACCTCCTTATCTCGGACTCGATGGACCCCCCCCCCCCCCCCAAAAAAAAAAAAAAATTCAAGATATCCAAGGATTCAAGACACTGGGGGTAAAATACTTAAAGAATTAGTGGTTGGGACTTCAGAGATGCTCTACCAGAAATCTCCGTACACTTGACTCATTAATTAATCTCTAATATGACATGCATTTTTCTGTTATCAAAATTCTCCTTGTCCATTGCTTGATAATTACACCCATGGGAGAAGTGGAATTTCTCTTGTTATTGACACAAAAGAAAAATTATATTTGTTATAGATTGCTGTAAAGAATATCATGAAAACATGTGTATTTTCTTGATTTTTTAAAAAGGTTACTGCAATACTCTTATATCTGTTGAGACTGTGTAATTTAAAAGTTAAAAAACATAGTTTTTTCACCTTAATTAAAGATCACAGTGACATTTAAGTAAGCTTCTACCTAAAATGCATTAATTAAAACTTTGATTGCCTCATGCAGCCCCATCCAATTCCCAATGTCTTTCCCAATGTATGCTTTCAGGTAAAACGACATTACCAGTCCCAACCAACACCATTTTCTTTTAGATTACATCAAGAATTGTACTAGAATTTTTATTCTGACTGATAGAATTTGCTTTGGACTGGTAGAACACATTAAGTCATCAGTTCAAACTATTGATAGAAATATTTGGTTTTCAGAAACTCTACAACACAACCCCATCCTAACTCCTAAACCCCTGACAAAGAGGATATGAAATTATCAATTCTGAACGAGGCACCCTTGCTCATCATAACCATGCACTTAGTTTATCTGCTAAATACCCAGGAGCAAAGAAGAATATTTTCCAAAGAATTAATGGATTTTCACTATATGATCAACAGAGCACCATCCTACATGTAACACCAAAAACCCTGACCCAGGGACCCTGAAATTCGCAATCTTGAAAGAGGTGCCCTTGCTCATCATAATCATGCACTTAGTATGTGCTTAATATCCAGAGGCAGAGGAGATTTTCAAAGAATTAATGCATTTTCACTATATAATTAATTATTATAGAGCCCTGCCTTAACAACAAAATCCCTAACCCATGGGTCATGAATTTCACAATTTTGGAAAAGGCGTTGTTGTTCATCTTAACCATGCAATTAGTTTGTCTGCTTAATACTCAGGACAGGGAAGATTTTAAAATAATTTTTGCATTTCACTCTATGATAAATAGAGCCCAACCCTAACACCAAACCCATGACCCAGGGGCCATGAATTTCAATTTTTTGAAAAAGGCACCCTTGCTCATCATAACCATGCATTACTTTGTCTACTAATTAAAATATACAGGAGGAGAGAGGAAAATTTTTGAAGAATTTATGATTTTCACTATATGATTGCTAGAGCCCCACCCTAACACCAGAACCCCTGATCCTTGGGCCATGAATCCCCAAATTTTGGTACAGGACTCAATGCTTATTACAGTCCTGCCAACAGTTTGAGTGCTTGATACCCAGGAGTAAAGAAGAAGATCTGTAAAGAATGCATTAATTTTTATGGTTTGGCCAAGCTCCTCAGGCCCCAGGGGGTGGGGGCCATGAATTTCACATTTTTTTTTGTTCCCTTTCACCCATAAATGCTATATCCAAAATTGGTTGATTTTGGTTCAGTGGTTCAAGAGAAGAGGCTGAAAATGTTCAAGTGTTAACCACAACACAAGACGGACGAAAACAGATACATATGTAGCAATAGGTCACCTGATAACTCAAGTGACCTAAAAATTCTTAATCTCTATTATGTCATATTTTTTTTCAATTGAGGGAGGTAACTTGAGACCCACAGTTGTGGATCAGGTAAGGATACATTCAGTGAGAACACATGGTTTAACCTGTGTTACCTGTGGTAAACCGCAATCAATTTCACACCATGAGGACTCGCAGGAAATACGGAAACTGCATTGACTGAAGTGTAGTTTTGTATTCACATATATGAATATAGACTGCAATCATTCTTTCAAGTACACCTTACTGCCTTATTTCTAAACTGAATTATATATTTTATCTTATTTAATTTCTTTTTTTCGTAGAATTGCTTTTAACAAAAAATCACACATTGTTCAGCAATAGTTCTCCAGTAATTCTAATGCTTCTGTGCAAAATTTATTTATAACATTAAACCAAATCAAACTTTTCAAAAATAAATTAATTTGTAGCTTTTGTTGAATTTCCAGATTCCTACTCTCATGAAATTATTTGTACACCTGTATTTTAAAAAGATGGATACATGGTGGATGAGAATTTCCTACCTGTAAAATTCCAGACAAGTCTATATGGTTCTCCCACTTCATGAAAATTGACTATTGTTTCCCCATCCTTTAACAGCTTACAACTGAGCGTCACATTGTCCTGTACAACTGCAGTGTGGTTATATGGGCCTCTCAATGTCAACAGGCTCAATGTCACTGAAGGAAGAGAGAGACATATTGATTAAGCTGATGATTAGTGTCATCAGGCTTCATCTTTAATGTAGTACATGTATACTCATGAAGGATGAAATAATTCAAAAGGCCATGAAAATTTAATGGACGACTGAATGTGAAAGGTTTTAGTGACATTATCTTTAATTTTATGAGTTATGACATAGTTCTGGTGTATTTCATTTCTGAATTTAGTATGCAAAGATCGAGTTAGTGTTTGCACTGATATGATTAGTTAATTCAAACAATTAGAACCCTTTCTTCACAGACATAACAGTTACTCTGAAATTACAGTACTATACATTTCCCAAAAATGTTCATTGCGACAATGATTTGTCTAAAATTTTGCCTTGTGTAATATTTATTATGGCAATTTGTTATTTAAATTGTATTTCATGTTTTTCTCCATTAATCTTTAAATTCTATTAAAACAAAATCATGGATGACTATCGAGAAATTTTATTTTAGTAAGCTGTCTCTAATTAATTTTTCTCTCAAGTTATTTCATATATTTTTTTGTTTGTTTTGTTTTGTTTTTTTAATCAAGACATGAATTCAATAATGATCTAGCTCTCCCTCTCTCTCAATTTCTCTTACAAATATGAGATACTTGATATTAAAAAAAACAAATATCATACTGAATGAGGCATGAAGATACATGTATATTTTTCTTCCTTTGAAGATTGATCTGTCTGAATTCCTATGAGAACAATTTTTCACTGGTTCTACAATTCATCAATTTAATCAAAAGGTTTGCTGTAACATTTCCCTTCAGGGTACAAGACTTGATCTCCCTATGAAAAATGCATCAACCATATAATCCTAAGAGATTTGCCAATAATTATCACCTCTAAACATGAACACCATAAAGAAACTCAAAAGCATGCAACTGTTAATTAATCAATTATGCACCCAGGTAATGTGCATCCCATCACAGCACTCATGTTTTACGATGTTAGAGAAAAAAAAAAACAGTCTGACGCATCACTCTACCTTGCCCAAAAATTATCATTTACAGATATGATGATTAATGGACTTTTTGTTCATTATTAATACACACATGATACAGGAAATCAATGTGTCAAGTAATTTCAATACAGTTATTGTATGTTTTATTGGAGAACTGATCGAAACAATGAGTTTAAATGCATTCCATTTCCATGTTGAAACAGGTTCTGTTTCAGGACCAGGGCTTTCAAAAAGATAAGAAACAGGTCATACTTATTTAACAAAATTAGGAGGTAACTTGTGGAAGGGATTTTTAATTCAAAATATATCGTCCAATTTTTCTTCAAGAAATATATTGGTCCATACAATCATGATTCCAGCCAAGTAAAAGTAACGAGTACCAGCAAATTTTGAAAGAACACATTTAATATACTACAATATAGATTAAGTAAACGTCAATATTCTTAGCTGGATTTTACAAAAGAACTTATGACTAAGACCAAAATATGATTTTGCTACTAACGTTCTTTTTTACATGAGTTTGAAAATGGACCAGACCTTTTCTAAACGAAGTTAGAGTATATGTCCCACTGTAACAATGTAATATAAACTTCATAACATAACAACTATCACACAAATTAACATCATAATACATTTCACACCTGTATCAATTTGATATATTGCTTTTTGCATGCAGACATTCCTTCCATAGCCAAAACAAAGTCTGCATCAATAAAGCTTAAGAAACTAACTGATGTCTCATCTGCTTATAACTGTAGATTATACATTTACATCTCATCTGCTTATAACTGGAGATTATACATTTACATCTCATCTGCTTATAACTAGAGATTATCCATTTACATCATGTGATTGAACACCAACTTAAAGACATACGTGTATTTTCAACAACTTTTAATATAATTTACTCTCTCTATTGGACCAAAACAATATACCTTTTGTTCTTTAAAATTATAACAATAAACAATAAAAGGATTGAAAATCTGTTGTTTAATTATGAGTAGGAAAAAAATATATGATTATAATGCTGAGCATGTGTGCATATCCTTCACTACTGACCTAATGAATTATACCTACCCCATAGTCACCTAACAACTGTGCATGCACACACACCCACACACAAACAAAACAAAAAACTGGAACATGGAAGGTGGTGCAAACTTTTGTTCATTTTTGGGAGCCAAAACAAAATTTTCTTTTTAAAAGTAATGCTTCAAATCAAATATTAGTTTTTCTCTTTGAAAGAAATGACAATTATATTTATATACATCATAACATGTGTATCTAACACACACACATAGTTCTGTGAGATCAATAAGTTGCATTTTATATAACCATTTCAAATGACATCATAGAATTCCAGGGATCATAATTTACAGTATTGGGTCTTTAAATAACCTTTGGTCTAAGGGTTGCATTCAAGTTCTGTAATAGCTAAGACTCTGTCCCAATTGAAAATTTACTCTTTTTTTCCCTAAAATTAAGGTAAAAATTCCAAAATGACATGTAGATTGAATTGTTCAGTGCTTTTAAAATAAATTTAAAAAAAACAAACTTTAAATTAATTTTGAAATTTCAATGATGCATAAGGACATGAATAGGGAATAAGCCTTCAAAGTAACTCTTTATTTAACAGTAGTTATTATTAGACATCAATATTTCTAAATTTTGCCACTTTTTCCATTAATTCCCAATTGAAAGGGTACAAAACCCTGTACCAAAAAAGAGTCAATTAATTTAAGCTCTGAATGTAATTTATCTAACTGGACCATCCTTCACTTTTTCAATATCAGTCAATGAGTTGTACAACAGGCTACTGCATGGCTACATGAAAATATTATTTCAAAACAGACACAAAATAAGCTGAGAGAGAGAATTAAGGGAGGGAGAGAGAGAAAATCAACAACATTATTGATTTCATGTACACACATCACTCATTGTAATACATGTATTACAGAACAAGTACATGTGTTGTACACAAAATCTCATCTACCAACGTCCAGTTTTATAAGAATGGATTAGGCATGCATCATCAGTGATCATACATGTACACTATCAAAGGGCATTAATTTCCCTGTGTTGTGCACAATACATTTTATTACTTGACAATCTGATAATGGAGTGAATTATATAAACATCTTTTACTTTTACGAATACTAGGCCTAGTACTTAATGGCTTTAGTAAAATTATAGTTATATTAAAATTGGAAATAATAAAACATAAGAAACAGTACAAACAATAATAATGTACGTATGACAAAACCAACGAGGTGAAAGAAGGGTTTCTAATCTCGAAAGTGGTTTCAGTTGTAGCCAACACTTTGGGAATTATCTTGTAAAATAAAAAAAAACTACAAAATAAAATATTTTATCCAAAGAGACATGTTTCTTACCATTAATGGTTAAGAAGAGTGACAAAAAATTTAGTAACATTTCCACCTCAGCAGACGAAATTCAAGTGTTTATTTTTCCCCGTGCGGGGATCATATAATGGAGTATAGATAAGTCGAACAACAGCATATTCGAAGAAAAACGCCATAACATCATCATATATATTGTTATTAATGATAACAAGTTTGGCTTTCCAGAAAGCCTGAAATGTCATCTCTTTGGCTTCATTAATGTCACAGAATAAATAGTGGAATGTAACATTTTTCCTCAGCGATTACAAGCAGAAGAACTTTAAAAAAAAAAAAAAGGGGGGGGGTAGTCAGAAAAAAAAAAATTACAACTTACCTGAATAATCTTTCACTAGGAAAGAAAGGGGGTGTTCAAACAAGAAATTTTTTTTTCGTGGATGGGAGGGAAGATTTAAACTTTTTGACTCTCTCGAAAACACATTGGGGGGGGGGGGGGGTATGAATATGCTGCAATAAAGAAAAATGTGGGGAAGGTAGAGGCAAGCTGCCTTTCAGTGAACATTTGCAACACTGAGTAATTTCAAATATTTTTTGTATTTGTGTTTAAAAAATGTAACCACTAAGCAGTACAGTATTCGTAAAATTTGTAAACAATTGTTATACAAGAGGATGGGTAAAACCCTAGCGTTCCTATTGACTTTACATCACAGCAGCTTACTCGGACAACAGCCAAGAAGTTTAAAGCGCTAACTTGAATTAGTCCGGTGTCATATAGTGAGACTCCCACCCCCCGTAGTGAGACTTCCCCCCGGAAATCTGGCTATATATAGCAGTAAGACTCCCCTGGGGGGAGAATTACTATATAGCGAGTCTTCCCCCCTAAACGACCATAGTGAGGCTTCCCCCTTCCATGTTCAGTAGTATTTTATTTACATCGACGATATATATATATTTGCATTTTGATAATGATCTTATAAAATAGATACATGTATGAATAAATATAGAAGTGCGCATTAAAAATTTATCGTGCACAGTAAATAATTGAATTGTTCCAAAATGATTCTTATCAAAAGAAATACATTTAACATTTAAGAGATCATTACTCGTGGACTCTTGGAATTTGCTTATGTTAACCTTCATGGAGAATGCAATAAATACAATATAGTACAGAAAGATGTATACTTGTAACAATAATTAACGTACATTTTTCATTCAGTTATCTCACATCAATATACATGTACATGTCATCCCATAATTATTTTTGGCTAACAAACTGTTAAAAGGCTATTAAGATGTTTCAATTATTAATTAACGGAGAACTTTTATTCATATACTGAAAAATATTGTTTTACAATGAAATAAAATATTCCGGAAACTACATTTGAGGGGAAGTCTCACTATGAAAGGGGAGAGAGACTGGCTATATAGTGAGACCTCCCACATGCCAAGAAATCCCGTCCATTTTTCCACAGCGATGGAGTCAATAAAAGTGTAATTGATGCAAATCACCCATATTCCCCTAACGCTGGCGAGACAATTAACGGCAGCAGATTTGAGGGGGTGGATCCTAAGTTTTCCGTTTTCTTAGTCAAAGAAAAATAAACTTCTACCCCAGGAAGTAGCCTCCTATGCCCTGAAAAAAATAGTTCCTGTCAAAAACCTTTATTTATTTACAAAATATGTAAAATGCACTAGACACAGGTACCAAAATTGTAAAAATAGACTGGAAGGAAATTAAAAACAAAAATTCAAAAGGAAAAAATAATAATTTTATATGTATGGAACTATTTGAACAAACTAAGTACATTGTTATGATAAGCAAGGACACCTCTTCCAAAATACTGAAATCCATGGCCCCAGGGACACAATCGACTAAGTTCATTTTCATTGGTCAATTACCGGTATGATACCTTAATAAGGCGCGAGACTTCCACAACAACCAAGTTCATCGTGCCCGATGTTACAGATGTAATTTATACTAAGAAAAAAATATTTTGATATATAAACACTGAAAAATTTGAAAGGCGTCTAATTTTTATTGAACAATTAATTAGTTCACTACAATTTATTTCACTTTCTTTTTCTTCTTTTTTTACTTTTTTAACTGCATATGATTTGCATGGAAAATCGCCCCCCCCCCCTTTAAAAAAAAAACAACAGGAAAAAAGGTGCAAAGGCTTCTAAATAATAAGTATTCTAGCTTTAATTTCAAACCAGTAAAACTTAAGATCCTTCCCTCAAAACTGCTGACATTAATTGCCTCGCACACATCTCCCTGGGGGAAAATCACAGATTAACGCTAATTCCGCTTTTATTGAGTTCGCTCTAAAACTAGAATGCGTACCTTTTCTTGGCATGAGGGAGAAGTCTCACTCTATTGCCAGTCGATCTTCCGGGGGGGGGGATCTCACTATATAGCCAGCCTTCCGGGGGAAGTCTCACTATGGGGAAGTCTCACTATACGACACTGACCCTCAATTGATTTCGAAAGATTTTCCACTTTTAAATATGTGGTTTATCCAAAGAAATAACCCTCACATGCATTTAAATATAGGTCAGTAATAAAATTTACAGGTTATAAACTAAAATTAGGCATTTACAAATTAACTGAAAGAGTACCAATTTACCAACCCTGATATTTAGGCTGTTCAAAGAAACAATCATTTTATATAATAATATTTCAAGAATAAGAGAAGAGATTTGATAGCTTAAATTTTACTACTAACCAATGATGCAATTTAAAATTACACAAAGAAAATGATTGCAGGTATTTTAATTATAAATTCTCAAAATACGAGTCGGGTAAAGAAATTGCGTCTTTTATACAAAGATAACAATATTGTATTTCTGACATTTATTTTTTATAGAACAAAAAACAAAGAATTATAGTGCAGACATGCGTAACAACTCACAATGATTATATAATCTTTCTTCCAATGCCTGTAGTTTTAACATTAACTAATTGTTTTAAAAAAATTATTTAAAAAATGGCATCAGGTTATTGAATGACTAAGAAACACCTCAGTCGTATTTTAACTTTTAATGCGAGTATTTACTTTGATTTTGTTTTTCTGTAAATTCTTGGATCCATGCCTTGGCTGATCTAATCGATGCCATGTAAAGTGTACTTAGATACACACACGCTGGCCATCATTTACGTAACAGCCTAGATAATTGCATGTTATTTGAAGACCCTCCACTTTGTTTTTCTGTAAATACTTTGATCCACGCCTTGGCCGTTCTAATCGATGCCATGTTTAGTGTATTGTGATACACACGCGCTGACCATGATTAGATAACTGCATGTATTTTGAAGACCCACGACTACCCAAGCGATATTGTCTCTGTGACTCTCTATGATTCTATGTGTAGTTTTTCTTTTTTAAGATGGCCTGTTTGACAGATCGCCCATTCTTTGTCATTGAGCAGTTTTGTTTACATTCTATATTTAGAAATCGTGTCATTTGCCAGACCACCAGTTTATCAATGGCAGCTTTCACTGGGTAACGGGATGTTTCGCAGCTATGCATGGTTCGCCCCGCGATGTTTCGCGCCAATTCTGTTTCGTGCTGAGATGGTTCGCCCCACGATGTTTCACTAAATGTGCTACTGAGTTAAGTTCATTTAACAAAATTTTAGATTTTAAATATATTTAGATATAGATATTTTTGGAACATTTTTTTTTTTAAAATTTAAGAAGATTATATTTGAAGCAGAGACGTAAATTATTTATGTCTGTGTTTGAAGTATACATACATAGCATAATTATGAATTATTATAACACTGTGCTAAGTACGTATAAGTAGATAATTACAATACCGCCTTCTAATTAAGTAATTATTGCTAGCTTGGACAACCAACACATCAACTTAAATTCTCACCTTTTGATCTCCAACTTATTACAATTAAATCCTCATTGAAACACTGTTGAATTGTTGAACAGACACGCTGAACAAACGGGCACCGTACAATCCGTTAACTATATAGCAGTGCATGTTATCAAGTCATGAATTGAGCACACAAAATATTTATATAATATTTGATAAATAATTTAAAACGGATGAAAATGTGATAAAATATTTAAAATAAAACGTGAGATGTTTCGCGCCCAAATCGGCGCAAATCATCCTAGCGCGAACCATCTCAGTGCGAAACAGAATGGGCGCGAAACATCCCGGATTCCTTACACTGGGGCTTCATATCCGAGGTTACAAACTTAATGTGTCATCTCTCTCGAGAGATGACAAAAATGTAATTTCAAGAGTCATCTCCAAATTTTTAAATACCGTTTTGCAAAATATCTACAAAAAATAATAATAATAAGTGCCGTTTTGCATATTTTCCAGGTGCCGTTTTCACCAGGTACTGTTTTCACTTGCACCCATAGCGGGCAAGTCGATTTACCCAAATGGACTCAAAATAAATTCATATAATGACAACAATGAAAAGCAGTAACTCGAATTAAATAATTAATTTTGTAATATATTTATTTAATGTTCAAGTTTGCGAATACATATTAATTTATCCTACAACCACAGGTATATACCTGTATGCAGCTTGTATGCACATGTAACTTTGATGTAATTAGTGCGCACTCGATGTCATCTTAAAGTAGGACAGACGGACAGTTCGGTGACTAGCCTGTTAAGGTGAAGGTTAGATTACACGTAGTGGGTAAATACAATTTCGTCCAATCGAATTTGTAAATCTTGGAGGATTGGCCCATTTGTTGGACAACGTTATATTGTCATTCTCCGACTTCATCTTCCCCTCTTCAGGTATATTGAGTAAAATCAGGTAAGTGGGGAGACCTGGAAATTATACAGTTACAGAGTGCGAAATTTGGAACAAGATTTGTGAACGATCAAGTCCTGTTCAGCATTACTTAATTATGATATAACATATAAAAGGCAGAATTCATTTGTCATTCATTGTTTGTTATTATGACTCGCTTGCCCCCCCCCCTCCCCCCACCTATATTGCGTAGTAAAAATTTTCGGATCACGTGCAGATGATAATGATAATATCTTCAGGGAGGAAGTGGGGAGGGGGGCCATGATCATTTTGTTTAGTACATAATTTTTTTTAAAAAAATTGCCAGGGGAGGGAGGGGATTGGGTAAGGGGGTTGTATTCTGGACCTCCTTACCCCCTTACATATAGGTCCCATACGTGGATCATTTACAAAATTAAAGGGTCGCAAAATTAATGCTATTTTTTTCTATATGAATAGATCTCTACCTGATATAGACAAGTACGTAAGCCTAGAAGGGTAAAATAAAGAATATGGAAAAAAAAAAGTCGTAATAACGACTTTTTATCTCGTAATTACGACTTTTTTGTAATAACGACTTTTTATCTGGTTATAACTACTTTTTATCTCGTTATTACGACTTAAGAAAGTCGTAATAACGACTTTTTATCTCGTAATAACGACTTTTTATCTCGTAATGACAACTTAATAAAATCGTAATAACAACTTTTTATCTTATTATAACGACTTTTTATCTCGTAATTACGACTTTCTTAAGTCGTAATAACGACTTTCTTAAGTTGTAATAACGACTTTTTATCTTACGAGATAAAAAGTCGTTATTACGACTTTCTTATGTTGTAATAACAAGATAAAAAGTCGTTATTACAACTTTCTAAAGTCGTAATAACAAGATTAGAAGTCGTTATTACGAGATAAAAAGTCGTTATTACGACATAAGAAAGTCGTAATAACGACTTCGTTATTACGACTTAAGAAAGTCGTAATTACGAGATAAAAAGTCATTATTACGACTTTCTTATGTCGTAATAACGAGATAAAAAGTTGTTATTACGACTTCTTAAGTCGTAATAACGAGATAAAAAGTCGTAATTACGAGTTAAAAAGTAGTTATTACGACTTTTATTATTTTTTTCATCTTCCTTATTTGACCCTTCTAGGCTTTCGTAGACAAGTGTTAAGGAATTGATGTTATTTAATACAGGGAGGTTGTTGGGTTCTTGTGAAATAAAAATTGTGAAAATATTTTTGCTCGTGGGTTGTAGTATACACTACATACACTGATCATCATGTTTATAGAATCCAGAATGTTTCTCTCTGATTCTGTTCGCCCTGAGATGGTTCGTGCCATGATGTTTCTCGCAAAAATCTGGCGTGAAATTCTCAGGATATTTTCACTATTTTCTCTTATTGTTATCAATCATAAACATGTTAAATTATTTATAAGTTATAAAAGAATATTTTAATGCTGTGTGCACACATTCCTATGTAACGGATCAAAATTAAGGTGCCTGTTTAATTTGTTTGAAGTGTGTTAATTTGCTCAAAAATTCAATGTATCCGACACATAAAGTACAAATATTATTTTCTTATTGTAATTTTGTAATTTGGCTGAGATCAAATGACATACGTGCACAGAACAAGAGGGAGGTCAAGGGTCTGGACCGCACAAAGCCAAATGTGGAAGCTTCCTCAGATAGTATAGATTCAAGTTTGTTCAAATCGTGACCGGAAAAGGTGGGGTCGCAGTGGGGATCAAAGTTTACATGTGGATTCTTTAAATATCTTCCTGGCAAGAACAGCAAAGCCACCATAAGTCACATTAATGTGGAAGCATGTAGCTGTAGCTTAAATTTTTTTCCCCAAATCATGGCCCCTGGGAGTAAGGTGGGACAACAAAAGGAGATGAAAGCTTTACATAGGAATATATATGTATGGAAAAAATCTGCTGATGAGAAAATAAGGACCAAAGTTACTCAGATTAGCATAATGGTCCATGGGCCTCGTGTTTAAAATTATTTTTAAAGACTGGATTAACAAACATTGATTGATAGATTTAAATATGTAATGTAAATGTTATACACTCTTTTCAAGAAACTTCTCAAGGAAACAATGTCTGAAAAGAAATGCCCAGCAGCTGGTACCAGTCCTTTCCGGAACTGGCAGCGACCAGACTTGCCAAGTAAATGCACGTACTATGAGGCCAAGTCTATGAAAGATTCACCTCACAACCACAAAGAACTGTAAGTACAAAATCTGGTTTAGCCAAATCTAATTAATGTAGACAATTTTGTCACCATTTGGATTCTATTTTCTTATTATTAACATGTTTAACATCTTTGTAAGTGTGTCAAGAAAAATTACCGTAAGCCACTGAAATTACAAAGTTTTATTTAAGTGGAAAAAAACATTTCATGTATTCAACCTTTAAATGATTTATATATTAAACAAGCATCAGCAGACTTGAATTTTCCATTTAGAAAACCAAAACCAAAGATAATGCCGAACATCCTGTACAATATTGGTAACACTCCACTGGTGAGAATTAACAGAATAACAAAGGCAGAGGACGTCCAGTGTGATGTTTGTAAGTAAAATAAATACTGAAGTCAGAGTTCTAGGAAATTCAAATCACTGTTTTCTTTCATTCAATCTACATTCTATATCATGCAATTCAGTGAATTCATTTTATATATGCATGTGTAAATGCTAGTACAATATACAATATTATGGACTGTTTAGAAGGGAGACATCACAAATTATCAGGTCTTAGTAGGGTTGTCACCAGAAGGCGCTTGCACCTAGGGTGACAACCCTACTCAGTCCTGATAATTTGTGATATCTCCCTTCTAAACAATCCGTAATAATTTTGACACGATACCAAATAGGAGCTTTTTTTTATCGCATTCTTACCGGGTATGCATGGGATTATTGTAAGTGGTGAAATTAATAGTTTTATTATCCTGAAGAATCTAAAGGATCAGTGCACTTAAGCTATGAGAGTTGGATCCCGGTGCTTTGCCAATAATAAATTTCCGAAATATATAAACTTTTTGAATCAGAATTATTAAACAATATCTTAAGAGCAGGGCTTGATATATTATATCACATAAAAATATTAAATAATGCCGAGCGACACTGGTTTTTGCGACAGGGGTCTAGCAGTTTTGTCACATTTCTATTGTTATTCATATGCATACCAGTTTTCAACGACATTTTTTACATCGAGCCGCAACTTGTCCATTCTTCTCATTTGCACAGAATGTGTATTTTGATTTAAACTTATACATATCCAAAGGGCAATGTTGGACAAATTGCGGCTCATATGTAATTTTTTAAAAAATTCTCCAAACTACGCTCGGGTTAGCTACTAAATTAACAGGTCACCGAGTGTCAACCTATTTTGACCTGTTTGATATTATAATCACTTTACTCACGTGACATTCCACTGTTCGATATTCTTTCATTGTGTCTGTCAATGGACTTCAGGGCTGTACACACGGATATGTATTTAAGTACAAAATCTGACTATGTATAGACTTTTACTACGGTGAATCCTAAGATTTTTCGAATCTTATAAAACTGTATTAAGAATAGGACAATGCTCTATTTCTTAATACAAGTCTTAACTTACCTTTCATTTTTAGACCAATCAAAAGTACTCACCTTGTGGTTATCCTATTTTTATCATAACAAAAAAAGCACGTGGTAAATAATGGTCGACTTTAGCAGTAAAAATATCGAAAACTCGTTTTATGGGAAGAAGATCAAAAGGAGTAACTACATGTAATTGTAAAAGTTGCTCAAATGCAGCGTTATCTATTCTAAAGAAGTTTTTGTAACTACTGGGGTCTTCTCTTAAATTTGCACCTCATCTAGCGATGCATTGTGTGCACCAAGTACATATACAAGTGTTCCGCTGCTGTTTCCATTATGATGTTTTTTTTTCAGTTTTCATGCAATGAATAATACGATAACAGATACTGCTAACAGAGCTCGTTTTCCATTATTGAGAGAAAGAAAGAGAGAGAAATATTGCGAGGGAAACACGTAGAAATCCCTAAAGTCTATTAACAATCTAATAAAACATACAAACGTGTGTACAGGAAAGTATTATAATACAAATATAATCCTTGTATTATACAATGTACAGTAACTACAAATCTCACCATTTGTACTGGCCTGAACAACTTCAAAATAATAAAGAATTTTGTGAAAATGTTATTAGGGTCTTAAAGTTTACCTTGTCTTCTTTCACTAAATTGTGTTTTTCGTTTGGTATTTTGAAGGAAATTCTGGTACTGCCAGTGCAAATCAAGTGCACGATTAGTATGTAGCTGTGTTAGCTCATGTCGCCTCTGTATTATGGTCTGCAGGCATCTACAGACACATCCCTAAACACTAGTATCATACCTGACAATATTTGGATTGCCGAAATGAAAGAGATATTGAAGACATAAGCGAGTGATTATCGATATAGTAACGTTGTAGAATTTTCGTTGACCATGTTTTTTAATCTGAAATATACTTGTTCCGTCAATAAAATGTTAATTTAAATTACAGATAGTTTGTATTTCTTGGAGTTTTCATGTTAACCTAGCGACTCAAATTTTAAGTTAATATTTTATATTTCATTTCCGAATGTTATTTATCTATACATGCATATAATAAAATATGTATCACCGTGAGTACTACATACATGTATAATTTGTTTCACTACACGTTTGTATTACTCTACGTACTACATGTACAGTGAATTATGATTAAATGTAGTGTGACATCGAAGTCATGTACATGTGAATCATTCTTAAAACATACAATCATTCTTTGAATTGAAAAGCATTCAGCATATAAAAATGAAAAATGATAAAGTTTAAGAAAAAAGAGGGGGCATTTTTTATCATATACAAAAACTTAAGATTGATCCAATTCGGTGCTAGGCATCAAACATATGGTTACGAATCATGAAAATGATCAATATGTATGGCCATGAATCATTTATTATTTGTGTGAATCATGAAACTACACAATCTTTCTCTCCTCCATTTAAATTCATACTGTAGAATCAATTTGGAAATAATGTGCAAATGTTTACATTCCACTTCCATGCGATTTAAATATCTCCGCCCATTTGCGGGTACCTTAAATTCGAAAGTGGTCCAGTTCAAATTTCCAGAATTTAAGGCTTATACATGTTCTTTTCAATGACGTTGTGTGGAATTATAGCAATATGTTTAACAAAAAATTCGAAGTATAAATATCAAACGCATATGTATGCACAATAATCATAGATTAATTTAGCAATATAGTCTAATTTAAGGCTTAAAATGGGTGGCCGAAAAGGCTCCAAATGACACTCTAAAGTGCACTCATTCTTTAATTAAAAGGAATAGAAAATATCAATCAAACTTCCTGTGTTCTCTTACCCACTGCTCAGATTTCATATGTCAACAAACAACTTTGATGTCATCGTTAGAATGTATTGTTTACTGATCCCAAATATATATTAGTTATCTCACTTAAGACATTTTATTTTCATCTAAAGGGAGACAACACTGTTGTCACCCTGCATGCTTGCTTGCTATATTTCATTGTCATATAATGAGTGACAACACAAATGTCACCCTGCGCTTGAGGGAAACATCACAAATTGTCTACCCGCACATGACATGCTCTAAATCAATCAGATTGACTGTATTATTCTGAAGGATAATAATATAAATGGCTATGCAGTTTCCAATGAATTTGCTTAATGCTTTTATCTTTGTTATTTTGAGTGCTTCAACTGATGAACTAACTGTATACCTTTATATCTGTTCTTTTGTGTGAAGTTTTACTCTATTAAATGTATTTTATTTTAGATGCTAAATGTGAATTTTTCAATGCTGGTGGCAGTGTGAAGGACAGGATAGGACTGAGGATGATAGAGGATGCTGAGGCAGCAGGGATCTTAAAACCTGGTGATGTCCTCATTGAGCCAACATCTGGCAACACAGGTCAGATTTACTACTGCTCAACAAGGTCTTAATTTACCATATCTTGAAGATGATTTCCAGTAACCTAAACTCTCTCTCTCTCTTTCTCTGGTTTTACTTTAAATCAGCAAGGATCAGATATTGAAATGTGTTATCTATTTATGTGTGCAGCACATTACATTTACAATATTACTGATTTATGATAAGATGCTTGAGAATAATTCAGTAGACATGTTTATGGATTTCAGGTATTGGTATTGCCTTGGCTGCAGCTGTGAAGGGATACAGATGCATAATTGTGATGCCTGAGAAAATGAGTATGGAGAAGGTAATGACTTGAAGTCAAATGCATGCTACATGTATAATGAATATTCTAAGGCTAGAGACAATTTCTTTATTTTCACTGGTCATTTTGAAAATTTAAAGCTGATGGTCAAACTTTATTAACATTCAAGATTAATTAGCTTTAAACATCACTAATCTTTTGGGCCAACAAAAGTACAAAATTTATATCTCTAAAATTTATGGCTTCTGGTAGGTGTGCCATATTTTTTCTAGCCCTGCATGATTTTGAAATTGAAAAAAAAGTATAGAATGCATCAGTAGTTATGATTATGATAAAGAATTATTACAAGTATTAAATACATGTACATAAATTTAGAAAGTTATTTTCTAAAGTGTAGAGAAAAAGTTCAGAAATGACAAAATTAGTGTCTAGCTGAATAAATACATGCTATAGGTTGATGTATTGCGAGCTCTTGGTGCGGAGATTGTGAGGACACCCACCAGTGCTGCGTTTGACTCACCAGAGTCCCACATTGGAGTGGCAAAACGACTGATGGAGGAGATTCCCAATTCCCACATTCTTGATCAAGTATACTGATTACTTGTTTAAAGTTGTCAATTGCATATAAAACTATCTTTAATATTCTAATATATAAAAGAAATCTATCTTATGCCCTGTTCACATGAAGAGTTTAATTCGAATTAAACGTAAGTTACTGCGAATTAAATTTGATCCGCGTTCACACGGAGAATTTAATGCGAATTAGTTTAAATCGTATTAGTTTACTGCACATTAAATTACTTCGCATTAGCTCCGTGTGAACGCTAAGCAAAGCTAATTCGAATTAAATTTTGATGCATGCATAGGGGCAGAATTAAGTCACATGCCACATGTCGGTGGTCAAATATAGGTTTTTGTGCTATTTTTGAGTGGAAAACAAAGGAAAACTATGTTAATCACTAAAAACTGTTCAGACACTATGACATTATTTCAAATGTATATCTGCTCTGCACAATGTGACGTGATTTGCAAATGACGTCATAATAGCCTTACTGAATAGCCATATAGTAGGAATAAAATTTTAATTCACATTAGTTTACTTCGCATTAGCTGTCATATGAACGCAATTTAATTCGCATTAGTTTAATTCGCATCATTTTACTCCCATTAATTTACTGCGAATTAAACTCTCCATGTGAACAAGGCATTAGTAGACAATATGGCCAGATTATGAAGTATTTACTTTCATTTGAAAATGAAATATTGATCATTGTGTTCAGTCTTAATTAAATAAAAAATTGAACAGGAGCATGTCCCATAGTTAATCAAAAAGATTAATAATCACTAATGTCACATCACTGTGTATTGTACATGTATATTTCAGTATCGTAATGCCAGCAATCCACTAGCTCATTTTGATGGCACTGCTGAGGAAATTCTCCAAGCTTGTGATGGTCAGTACACAATTGTCTTTGATATCATTTATTTCTTGGAGGGGATCAGCTCTATTTCAGTTTCTAATGTTTTTATATATACATGTACCTGTCTCATGATTTACAGACAAAGTAGATATGGTGGTGGTTGGAGCTGGTACAGGAGGAACCCTGACTGGAATTGCACGCAAAATTAAGCTGAGGTGTCCCAACTGTAAAGTAAGAAACAGATTGATTTGAATGTTTTAATATCAGTGACATTGGAAACACAAAATTTTTCTTATGATTTGAATGTTTTAATATCAGTGACATTGGAAACACAAAATTTTTCTTATACAGTGCATTATATAATCATTGACATTTTTGAGATAAATATATTAATTTGGCAACTGCAGAAGAAAATTCATGAAGCCCAAAAGCATTGAGTTACAATTGATTTTTGGACAGTGTAGAAATCATCAGTTTATCTTATAAAAGTCAGATTGATTTTGATTTTTCTAATTAACATCTTGACTAAATGATTCAATTCAATGACTTAAAAAACTTTATCAGTTTTAGATCACCTGAGCCCAAGGCTGAAGTGAGCTTTTCTGATAGAAATTTATCTGTTGTCTGTTGTCGTCATTGTCGTAAACTTTTCCCAATTTCATCTTCTCCTCTAGAACCATTGAGCCAATTTCATTGGATGACACCATAGCTATTTATAGAATGGTATGTTATCTTATGGAACATTGTTTACTAGTGCTTTTTATTCCCAAGACTCAAGAGTCAAGATATATCCCAAACAGAGATACATGTATCATCATTTAAACAACCATTCACTGATTGATCAAACAATATCAATTGACTCCACCCAGACACAACTCAAAAAAAATTCTGACTTTTGATAGCACCATAAGCCAAGGGTTTGTGAAGAGAGTACCAGATCAGAAACCTTTTTATAGGGAAGATGAGTGAAAATTGGGTGAGGTCATTGTAAGATCTTCTCAAGAACCACTAGTCCAGAAAAGATAAAACATATATGGAAGCACTCTCTATCATTGGCTAATACATTCACCTCTGTCTTTGGCTCTATTTCACAGTGTTAAGCACAAGAAATAGTGCTTTTGTTTTAATTTATAAAAATTAAATTCCTGCTCTAATGTTTGTCTTTTAAGGTATATACAATGTACATGTATTTTCTAAGTAGATCTAGAACTATTAGTTTAATTTGAAATAATCCTTGGAGTATCTTTTTTTAACCTCATGTCAAAAATCTTGATGCAGACCCATTGCAGAAGTGTCTAAAATAGGAAAAAATGACAACTCTGCTAGGGAAATTGAAATGGAAGCTTCCTTACATAGTGTAGATTCAAGTTTCTTCAAAGCATGCTCTCTGGGAGGAGGGTGGGGCCACAAAAGGGGATCAAAGTTTTACAGGGAAAAATAAGGAGAAAATGATTTCAAATTGAAATCTTCTTCTCAAGAACAGAAGGGCAATGATTAGTAACATTAAAATGCAATTAATCCCAGGTAGTGCAGATTCAAGTTCATTCAAACATCTGCCTCAGAGGTAAGGAGAGAATTTTTCATGTGAATAAAAATAGAATTCTTTTTATCATGTGTTGACTCGGATGAGCATTGTGGTCCGTGGGCTTCTTGTTTTTTTTCTCTCTTTTTTTTTTTTTTTTTTTTGCATTACTACCAGATATATGTACATGTGTGTAAATTTCTGACCAAACAGGTCATTGGAGTAGATCCAGAGGGGTCAGTCATTGCAGAACCAGAATCTCTGAATAAGACTGACACCACATTTTATGAGGTAGAGGGAGTGGGATATGACTTTATTCCCACTGTGTGTGACAGAAAGGTACTGAGCAATTAATTGCACTGTATAAATATACATACTGTCATTTTGCACATTACTACTTAGTATATTTATGTAGAATCTTCTTAAAAATTAGCATTTCATTCATCACATAAATTGTAGTAATTCTTGTAGAGTACCTGTATTTTGAATTTATAATTTGAAATTGAAGAAAAGTATTTGTTTTAAAATATATTATATCCCACAACTCTGTCAATTTCATGTAAAACAGAATATGGCATTAGGCGAATAAACCATAAGAAAGTTAAGATTTGTCCTATAATTTGTTTTTCATTTTAGCTAGTTGATAAATGGTACAAGTCCTGCGATAAGGAATCTTTCATCATGGCTAGACGACTGATAAGAGAAGAAGGACTACTTTGTGGTAAGAACCTTTATACTTTCCATTGATTCAGAGTGTATCGTAAAGTGCTTAATTCATTTTTATGCCTTCCTTGAACAGGTTGAAAAAAGGGGGCATACTGGTTTACACCTGTAGGTCAGTAGATTGGTAGACCAAGTGTTTTCTGATCAATATCTTGAGCACCCTTTACTTGACAGCCATCAAGCTTGGAACACTAGTCCCCCCCCCCCCCCCCCCCCCAACACACACACAGAGTAGACAACCCCTGTAGATTTTGAGTACCCAGGGTCAAAGGTCAAACTTCTCATGTTGTAGGAAGATATCTTCTGCTAAATATCTTCTGAACTCTTTGCTTACAGTTATCAAACTTGGTAATTTGCTCCTCTTAAAGGGTTTTTATCACGTCTCAAAATTTTTTGATATGACAAAGTTTACATGCTATTAAAGTCATATATAAAAAAATTTTTGCTAGAAAATTAATATTTTTGATGTTTCAGCGATTCAAAGTTTGAATTTCTCAATGTGCATATTTTGATCGCTGATGTTACGCGCCATTGCTCTGACGTCATAGGTGTCAATCCTGGTCAAGCGAAGTACTTATTGTGTATACGGAAGAATTTTTTCCCCAAATTTCCTGGACTTGGTCGAGAGATTTTTCTGTAAATGCGATGATGTTTATCTCCATTCAGAACAATCGTTTATGCCTGATCGATCACGATTTTTTTTTTCTGTCCTATAAAATAATTTTAGGAAAGATACCTTTAAAAAAAATAACAAATGACAAACACGCATTTTTTAAAAGTCGCACAGAATCTAGTAGAAATGTTGTGAACTTCGTAATGGCGTACGGCGCCATTGAAGAAGAGTCATTTCTATTACATGATATTCACTGCTAGAACAGATAGAAGATATACATGATTTATTTCTATATAATTAATTAAAATAATAATGAAGAAGGATTTAAAATTCCCATATCTATAAATGTTTATGAAGTTAAAGTAATTCTTCTATTTGGTTGAAGTCCCGAGTTGTCAACGGCTTCGTCTTCGGTGACCTCTCTCTAATTGTTGGCATATTTTCTGGTTATTTCTCTCTGCTAGACGTTCATGCATAAAAGATTGACTGTCCATAACCAAAGGAATATAGTCAATGTCAAAATTCCAACCAGCCATATTGTGTATTCTATTTATCTAGCGTAAAAATCTATTCAATATATTTTTTCTTACGATAAGCTTTACGAGTTTTATTGACCATTGACACCTATGACGTTTCAGTACCACGTGACCCCTATCTAATTAGTGGAGATTTTTACTTCGAGGACCCTATATTACGGGCATTTTTCATCTAATTACGGCCGTTTTCAACATTATTTCATAGTCAAATGATAATTAATCGTCTCAAAAATATAATAGTGTTTCATTTTTAAGAAATTTAGATACATGATAAAAACCCTTTAAGGAGTAGATTTTAAGGTCACAAGGTCAAGGGTCAAACTGGATATAAGAATACCAGTATATTAAATACTTAATATCTTGAAAACTATTTGCATGACAGACTTCAAACTTGGACCACTGTACCCTCAAAGAAGTGAATCATCCCTAAAGATACCAAGGTCTGATAGAGATCAAACTTAGTAAATACACTGTACAAAGTTGATCCTCTTTAATATTGCCACATGATGGTGTGGAGGGAGGATATATATTTTTAAAACATTTCTTGTTCATATAAATTTACATGTATTTAAGCAAAAGGAGACTGTGCATACAGATATTTTCATTCTTCTTTTTGATGAATTACAAAAAAATGACATCTGCCATCATCAGAAACCCACAATTGATTATGTGATTATGTCACTGTTCTCCTTCAGTGAGTGATGAAGAAACATGATATACACGTAACTAAGCATGTGTTTTCAAAGATAATTTTTCATAGGAATCATTGAGATAACACTTTGAGGTTCCAGTATTGTAAACCTTACTTGAGTAAAGTTAGTAAATTGTGGATTGTATATAATAAAAAGGTGGAAGCTCTGGTTCAGCAATGTCCATTGCCATGAAGTCAGCAAAAGACTTTGGACTTAAGGAGGGACAGAGGTGTGTGGTGATACTGCCAGACTCCATCAGGAACTATATGTAAGTCCCATTGTACTCCTGTATATTAGGGCTCTCATGGTTCCAAAATTTTTCAGGCCAGTTCAGTTCAGTAAATTTGCTGTTCGGTTTTGCGGGTTCTTTTTTTTTTACATCTATTTTTAACTCTAGTTTTATGAATTAGACTTTAAAAAATATTTGTTAAATTTAATTCACCTACAAAACAAGTTTTAACAATATTCACATCTTGACAGTAGTGTTTAAGACTACTAGGCCAACAAATAGTGATGACATGATCACCTTTTTTCAATAATTATCCCATCCAATTTTTAAATTGCATGCAGAATGATATAAAACCAAGAGTGACCACATGATAATATGATACTACTTTCCAATTTTTATGTTCTGTGCTCTAGCAAAGTACAAGAAAATAAGTATAGATGAATGCATGTTTAAATTTAGAAAGTAAGATTTGCAGTTTAAATCTGATAATTATGTCATATTGTTTCCTGATAATTACACATTGAATAATGTTCAAACTTTATCTGATATCTTTGATATTTAAACTTTATAGAATATATTACATTTTCCCCATTTCTAATAATATCCTTTTATTTTTTAGGACCAAGTTTCTGAGTGATGATTGGATGAGTCAGAGGGAATTCCTTGAGGCCAGCCAATCAGCAAAGGCTGCAGAGGAATGGTATGTATTTATTACTTACAGATGCTAGTTTGCATTTATTCAAGAGAACCAGTTACTGCAAAAAATCAACAAATCATAAAATAGAACTTCAAAAGACCATACATAGTATCTCTTGGTCAACCACAATAGCTGTGAATTTTTCAGAAAATTCAAGATCTGATTTCATTTGAGTTAAAGATATGTATACATACAGCATGACTTAATTAATAAAACACTTACAACACCAACAATAAAAAAGACAAAATGTATTTGTAAATTCATTTACTGTAAAGAGAGATTTGTCCCACAAAATTGTAAACTGGCTTAAGATTAAGAATAATTTTTAAATGTATATACAATATCTTTTAAATTGAAGTATTCAAATAATTAAAAGTAATATGCATTCAGTTCAGAGAATACAATAAAAAGAAATCTTTTCATAAATTATTTTACTCCTCAAGTAAGCTAGGTTTTAACATTTTTTTCCCCAATTTTTCTGACAGTCCATATGGAAAGAACAGGTCAGCATTTTTGAGTGTAATTCAAGTTCATCATGCTTTGCACTCTTTCATCATTTTCTGTGAGATAATGTGTGCATATACATATACTGAAAGAGATAGTTTAAATAAAACCAAAAAAGACATTATACATTAACAAACACTTTGAAGTGCAAAACATTCTTTTAATATACTGAAATACTTAGGTAATGGCACTTTTAACGCTCTCTTATTTCATCATTTCTTCTAGGGAATTTTGATATTCTTCATTAAAGAAATAATTTTTTTTTTTTAGTAGATTTAGTTTTTCCTGCCCTTTATCTCTTCGGTGAAAGGGAGAATAAATAAAGAAAATATATGGCTGGACCAGGAATCAAACCTGGGCCCCCTGTATCACCAGTCAGCAGCTCTAAATTCTGAGCTACCCAGGCTGATCCACCATCCATTTAGCCCAAACTACTACATTGCTCCCTCCTTAAATAGTTTTACAACCTCAAAGACACACAACTACACAAGTTCCTTTAAAGAAACTACTAATTCATCATCGGAAACCCACGGTCAGTCTCGCTTCTCTTACCTAAGAGTAAGAGCTATTAATTTATATATAATCTAACCAAGCCCCCCTTTCCCCACCCCCACTGACCACCAAATATTGTAGGAAAGAAGGAGTGAATAAAGAAAATATATGGCTGGACTGGGAATGGAACCCTGTGACTCTGTATCACTAGTAAGGTGCTCTAACTACTGAGTTACCCTGAGTGATGTCCTTATCTAGCCCAAACTACTATAGGTGAAAAATCACTTGTGAACAAAATCTAAAAAAAAATTATGAAGAGATTTTTTTCATTTACTGGTTATCCTTTCCTGTATTTTTTGTTTTGGTTCTCCTTTCCTGTATTTTTTGTGTTTGTTTTTTGTTGTTTTTTTTTTATTTTGCTCACCTGAGCTAAAGGCTTTAAGTTTATCATCTGTTCATCCATTTGTCTGTCAGCTAATTTCACATTTTCAATTTCTATAGAACCAGGGGACACATTTCAACCAAATTTGCCACAAAGCATTGTTGGAGATGGGGATTCAATTTTCTTGAATTAAGGGCTATGCCCTCTTTCAGGGCAAGGTAAATAAGAAATAGTGAAAATTAAGTGGCATCTTGTAAAATCTCCTCCTCCAGAACAACAAGGTCACATTAGTCAGATGTGACATTCTGATATTGAGGAATCCCCATAGTGACCATGTGTGTTGATTTAAGTTTAGTAAAGTCACGACCCAATGGATTTAGGGTTGAACCACAATATGGGTCTAAAAATTTTTCATGGCAGTAAGAGAGATTTTTTTTCTCAAAAACCTAATGAAAAACAGACAGGCCAAGGTTACTTAGGTAGAGATTGAGGCCCATAGGCATCATGTTGTACAGCTCATTTTTAGCTCACTCCAACGAAGAAGTCAAGATGAGCTTATGCTGTACCCCCGGCATTGGCGTTGGTGTCCCGGTTAAAGTTTTAGGAGCAAGTCCATTCCCAAGTAACTATAAGTCCTACCTGAACCAATCTTGCATGGATGATGCATCTAGGGATGGACACTACCACACTAGCTTCGGATGCTGGATATGACCTCTATTTTCCAGATGAGTGACCATGTTAAAGTTTTTTGGAGCAGGTTCATTCCCAAGTAACTATAAGCCCTACCTGGACCAAACTTTCATGGACAATGCATCTAGGGATGTACACTAACCGACCTGCTTCTGATGCTGAATCTGATGTACTTTTTCCAGAGGAGTGAATTTTGGCCATATTATTACCATTTAAGTATGGATGATGTATCTAGGGATGAACACTACCACATTTGCTTCAGATGCTGAATCTGACCTATTTTTTTCAGTTGAGTGACCAGGTAAATGTTTTTGGTGTAGCTCTATAATTATATGGCCTGTTATGATAAAACTTGCATCTAAGGATGGACACTTCTAGACTTCCTCCAGATGTTGGAATTGGCCAACATTTTCTTGATTAGTGAACAGGTTAAAGGTTTTAGAGCAGATCCATTTCCAAGAAACTCTAAGTCTTACTTAAACCAAACTCGCATGGATATTGATTTTGGAATGCACACTAACTAGAAAAAAAATATGAACTGAGGTTTGCCTTACTTACTGATAACAATAACATTCGACGAGGTGAGCCTCATAATCTTTGATTACCTATATTTAACAAGTATGTGTAGATTTTGCATGCAAATATGACATTACATGATGTATCTTGGCAGTTTAAATTTTTGCTGCTTTTGCTTTGCATTCAGTGGAAAAATATTTTATTTTCCTATTAAAAACTTGAAACCATTAATATTGTTTTCTTTAATTTGTTAGCATGCATGTACATTGCCATATTGTTTATTCAATAGGCAGTTTCTTTGGTGCAATAATCTTTTCTCTTTTTTTTTGATTTCAGTAATTTTGATAAGTTATTTAAATAGATCACTACCAGTTGTAAGAAATCATAGCAGACTAAGTTTGCTTTTAAATTATTATATAGAATCTACTTGGCACTATTGAAAAACAATAAGTTTTTATGACATTAAAAGTAAGACACTAGATAGTTGAATGAATAAAACTTCTAAGAGACAGGCTCAGAAATGATCAAATGGTGTGAGCTTCATCCATTCTGCACAAACTAAAATTTGGTGATCAGTGACTACTATGTAGTTAACATTAACACTGAATTCTCTATTGATGTGCTAAATGCTGTACATGTATATAGATATATATCATCTTTTTTAATTCATAGCTATATCCTAGATGAATTTATTAATGCTATAGAGTTAACATTAATAAATTAAGAGTTTTTTAATCTTCAGTAAATACATGTAAATTAACCCATTTAAAATATTGTGCCTTTGAAGGTGGTCCTCATTAAATGTGAGTGCCCTGCAGTTAAGAGCTCCTCTGACTGTGACTCCAGCAGTCACTATCCAGGAGACACTTGATCTTCTCAACAAAGAGGGTTTTGACCAAGTGCCAGTTGTTAATGATGCAGGGTAAGTAAAAAAATCTAGTAAGTAATATTGCTTTTTTAGCTCACCTGAGCTGAAAGCTCAAGTGAGCTTTTCTGATCACCCGTTGTCTGTCCGTCTGTCCGTCCGTCTGTCCGTCTGTCCGTCTGTCCGTCCGTCTGTAAACTTTTCACATTTTCAACTTCTTCTGAAGAACCACTGGGCCAATTTTAACCAAACTTGGTACAAAGTATCCTTGGGTGAAGGGGAGTGTAAATTATTAAAATAAAGGGCATAGTCTCCTTACAAGGGGAGATAATCAAGAAAAGACAAAAATAGGATGAGGTCATTAAAAAATCTTCTTCTCAAGAACCACTGGGCCAGAAAAGCTGAAACTTATGTGGAAGCATCCTGGGATAGTGTAGATTCTAAATTGTTCAAATCATGACCCCCGGGGGTAGGGCGGGGCCACAATAGGGAATCCAAGTTTTACATTGAAATATATATGAAAAATCTTAAAAAATCTTCTTTTCAAGAACCACTGGGCCAGAAAAGCTGAAACTTATATGGAAGCATCCTGGGGTAGTGTAGATTCTAAATTGTAAAAATCATGACCCCCGGGGGTAGGGCGGGGCCACAATAGGGAATCCAAGTTTTACATTGAAATATATAAGAAAAATCTTAAAAAATCTTCTTCTCAAGAACCACTGGGCCAGAAAAGTTGAAACTTATATGGAAGCATCCTGGGGTAGTGTAGATTCTAAATTGTAAAAATCATGACCCCCGGGGGTAGGGCGGGGCCACAATAGGGAATCCAAGTTTTACATTGAAATATATAAGAAAAATCTTTAAAAATCTTCTTCTCAAGAACCACTGGGCCAGAAAAGCTGAAACTTATATGGAAGCATCCTGGGGTAGTGTTGAATTTAAATTGTTCAAATCATAACCCCCGGGGTAGGGCGGCGCCACAATAGGGAATCCAAGTTTTACATTGAAATATATATGAAAAATCTTAAAAAATCTTCTTCTCAAGAACCACTGGGCCAGAAAAGCTGAAACTTATTTGGAAGCATCCTGGGGTAGTGTAGATTCTAAATTGTTAAAATCATGACCCCCGGGGGTAGGGCGGGGCCACAATAGGGAATCCAAGTTTTACATTGAAATATATAAGAAAAATCTTTAAAAATCTTCTTCTCAAGAACCACTGGGCCAGAAAAGCTGAAACTTATATGGAAGCATCCTGGGGTAGTGTTGAGTTTAAATTGTTCAAATCATAATCCCCAGGGGTAGGGCGGGGCCACAATAGGGAATCCAAGTTTTACATTGAAATATATATGAAAAATCTTTAAAAATCTTCTTCTCAAGAACCACTGGGCCAGAAAAGCTGAAACTTTTATGGAAGCTTCCTGGGGTAGTGTAGATTATAAATTGTTAAAATCATGACCCCCGGGGGTAGGGCGGGGCCACAATAGGGAATCCAAGTTTTTCATTGAAATACATAAGAAAAATCTTAAAAAATCTTCTTCTCAAGAACCACTGGGCCAGAAAAGCTGAAACTTATATGGAAGCATCCTGGGGTAGTGTAAATTCTAAATTGTTAAAATCATGACCCCTGGGGGTAGGGCGGGGCCACAATAGGGAATCCAAGTTTTACATTGAAATATATAAGAAAAATCTTTAAAAATCTTCTTCTCAAGAACCACTGGGCCAGGAAAACTGAAACTTATATGGAATCATCCTGGGGTTGTGTAGATTCTAAATTGTTAAAATCATGACCCCCGGGGGTAGGGCGGGGCCACAATAGGTATATTAAAAGGGGGGAAATCTTGTAAAGAACAGCATGGCCAAAGTTACTCAGGTGAGCGATGTGGCCCATGGGCCTCTTGTATTTTATATGTGTATTCCTTGTGACGAGACCTTTCTTTGGGTACAAACATTTTTTAAACTCCTTACCTTCACGTTTGACCTTCATTTGACCTTTTTGAACTTTTACCTTGGCCTTGAGCTGCCATACGTGGGAATCAGTGTTTCACAAACACATCTTGTTTTTTTTTAATTTTTATAGAATGTAGACTACCAGAGTTCAATGTATTGTATGACTTACTTTCTACACCTAAGATTGTACTCTACATACAAAAAGGCAGCTCAATAAACTGTAAATAGACGCCATTCACATAAACCTTACATTTTAAATTCTACCCACGTACAATTACTATCAATAATCAAATGTTGACAAATAATTTCTACATTTCCTCTCTATTCTTCATATCAAACTGATGTTCCAACGTATAAATACAGAACTATAGAAACCTTTGAAAAGTTCTTGTTCACAAACAGAAGTTACACTAATCGGAATGGGTTAACTTTACAATATGACCGGAAGTTCGTAGACTATCAGCTGAAGCTGGTAATGTTGTTCATGGCATTTTTAGTATGAAGTGTGCCATTGGACAGAATGCAAATGGCATTACGTTATTTAGCTAAAAAGTTCAAATGATCCACAGCATTAATCAATTACTATTATGCAATATTCATGGACTCATTAGTAGGAAAAATAAATTATTTGGGTTAACTCACTGATTTATTTGGAATAAGTAATCAGCGGCGGATCCAGGAATTTCATAACGGGGGGAAGGGGGTCTGGGGGCTGCATTGAAGCCCCCAGCGGGTCCAGGGTAAAGCCCAGGTGGGGGTCCGGGGGCGAAGCCCCCTGGACTGACGAATTCTAACAAATAAGAGGTGTTTTTCCCTTGATTTTAGGATAATACAAACAAAATGTCAAAAGAAAATTCAAACAGGGGGGGGGGGGCACGCCCGGCGCGCCGGCGCTGGATCCGACTTCGGTAATACGTACTTTCATAATTGCATTTCACTAAATATTGTTTATAGCTGTATTGTGGACTTGGTGTAAAAGTTTAATTCAGCTATGTACAAGCGGATAGAATCGGGTGTGATTTCATCTCCATCTTGATAGAAATCCATAGACATTTGTGCATAAACTATTTCAAATACAGATTTCTTTCATCAATCTGAAAACTACATATTTGACGCAGTGGTTTGGATATTTTTAGAGTTTACTAGATATATAAGGATATTTTAATGTAAATTCACGAATACTCAGAAGACACCAGAGAGTACCTGTTCACTGCTTTGAGTTTATTCACACTAATTTAACGTATGCAATGAACTGTGGGTTTTGAATTTATTCATGTCGTGTTCCTCTACCTTTTGATATATTTTCATATTTAAAAAGAAAATACTGCTAACAAATACCATACTGATAAAATACTGGATAAACTGCGCAACCCCAACTACAAATATTAGACCTTATTTTCGTAATTTGATCATATACGCCTCGTTGACATCATTATTTTGAATTTGTTATTTGCCTTCTAAAGCAAGTAGATTAAATTTTACTTACACAAGATGTCATTTTTTCTGCATCAACTCTTGAACAAATAGATGTACACATCTATTCCACTTTTGTATGGCACTTCAACTGTATATAAATATGTCACAGGCACTTGACAAAAAAATTCCACACATTTATTCTTTATTTGTGTGGAATGTTCTTGTGAAGAAGCAATAGGCTGTATAAAAGCTGATCCTAATGAGATAAAATAATATACTTCCATGCTGTCACAGCCATACTTATTTTTACCTTTAGATATACAAAGTACATGTACCTTTCCATCATGTTCCATCTCGATCGTCTTAGACTCATGCATTTTCATAATAAACACTACCCAGCTATATAGGTGATAGTTTTAACATGCTTTTAGTTGGATTTGGCTAAGCTGAGATTGCTTCTAAATGAATATAAACCCGAGAGATTTTTTTTTAAATTCCACATTGTTTCAATTCAATCAAAAATGTTTGTGAAGTAAGTTTATTCCGTAATCTCTGGGGGGGGGGGGGGGGGGGGGGGGGGGGAGAGTAAATAATCTGTCCTCGAAAATGTTGAAAATAAATAATCTGTCTGTCCTCGACTAGGGAGAAAATAAATAATCTGTCCTTGACTAGTGCTACTACCCCCCTCCCCCCAATGGAGTTTTGGAATTTGGCTTTTTTTTGGGGGGGGGGGGGGGCTTGTCAGACTTTTTTCAATGAAGAGGAAAATAAATAATCTGTCCTCCATCATCTTTGAAATATACAAACTGTACGCTCTTCAGCGACATGAAAATAAATGATCTAACTCGGAAAAATTGAAAAATTTGTCCCCCCCCCCCCCCAATCAAATGGTCGTCCCCTAAGTTTAAAATGTTCAATAAAATATACATTTAGCGACATGGCGATAACAGCCTGATAATGTCCCAGGAACCTGCACAGACCCAGTGATTTACATTGCTACTGACATTGCTACTGACTGTCTATCAAGATTTCGTGATAACTTGACGTAGCTCATTTGAGAAATGAGACACTGTGTTTACCGTCTAAAGCATTTTCTTCGAAATCCAATTCTTAATCAATGATTCGCCATCTTTTTGAGTTTTGCTATCTGTCATAAACGTGTGCTATGTTTAACATGCAGAGTTTTCAAAATTTTTATCATTTGAATTGTTGTGAACAAATATGAAGGAAAACGTACTTGATTCTAGTTATGTCTATAAATCAAATAATCTGTGTATTTGTATCTTAAACTTTATAAGCATGCGTAAGTAACAAACCGTGAATGCATTTAGGTTTGCCAACATGTACCTTTCCGAGAGATGTTGCATATAGACAAGAGACCACAAAAGCAAACACTGGTATATTACATGTAAGCAACAATATCAGGTTTAAAGTGGCCTTCCCCCAGAATCAAGAAACATCTTAAGCTTAAGTTAAAATCTAAAGAAGTCAAACAAGAGGCCCATGGGCCACAACGCTCACCTGAGCACTGTGGCTAGGAAAAAAGCAAAAATCAGTTCAGTATTGAAAAGCTTAAATGCATAAGTGGTCCCCACGTACCCCTAAAAAGGGGGGAGGGGGTATGATTTGAACAAAATTGAATCTACACTAACTAAGGATGCGTGCATATTTCTTTGACTAACTGTGGCTTTTTTCCTACAAGTTTGAACTTTCTTTGTGGCCCCACCCTACTCCCGGGGGTATTGATTTGAACAAACTTGAATCTACACTATCTGAGGATGCTTCCACATAAATATGACTAATCATTCATAGCTTTGCTGTTCTTGAGAAGAAGATTTTTTGAAGATTTTTCCTATATATTCCTATGTAAAACTTTGATCGTCCATTGTGCCCCCACCCTCCCCTGGAAGTCATGGTTTGAACAAACTTGAATCTATACTACCTGAGGATGCTTCCATATAATTATGACTAATAGCTTTGCTGTTCTTGAGAAGAAGGTTTTTAAAGATTTTTAGCTCACCTGAGCCGAAGGCTCAAGTGAGCTTTTCTGATCACTTTTTGTCCGTCGTCCGTCTGTCCGTCTGTCTGTCTGTCCGTCTGTCCGTCTCTCTGTAAACTTTTCACATTTTCGACTTCTTCTCCAGAACCGCTGGGCCAATTTCAACCAAACTTGCCACAAAGCATCCTTGGGTAAAGGGGATTCAAGTTTGTTCAAATGAAGGGCCACACCCTCTTTCAAGGGGAGATAATTAAGAATTAGTGAAAATTTGGTGGTATCTTTTAAAAATCTTCTTCTCAAGAACCACTGGGCTGTAAAAGTTGAAACTTATGTGAGACCTTCATTACATAGTGTAGATTCAAGTTTGTTCAAATCATGACCCCCTGGGGTAGGATGGGACCACAATGGGGGATCAAATTTTTACATAGGAATATATAGGAATAAATCTTTAAAAATCTTCTCCTCAAGAACAACTAAGCCACAATTAGTCATATTGATATGGAATCATCCTTAGGTAGTGTAGATTCAAGTTTGTTCAAATCATGACCCCCAGGGGTAGGGTGGGGCCACAAGGGGGATCAAAGTTTTAAATAGGAATGTATAGAAAAAAATCTTTAAAAATCTTTTTCTCAAGAACAACAAAGCCACAATTAGGCATATTGATATGGAATCATCCTCAGGTAGTGCAGATTCAAGTTTGTTCAAATCATGACCCCTGGGGGTAGGGTGGGGCCACAATGAGGAATCAAAGTTTTACATAGGAATATGTAGGAAAAATCTTGAAATTGTTTTTCTCAAAAACAACAAAGCCACAATTAGTCATAATTTATATGGAAGCATCCTCAGGTAGTGTAGATTCAAGTTTGTACAAAATCATGACCCCCAAGCGCGGGGGGGGGGGGGGCACAATGGGGGATCAAAATTTTACATAGGAATTTATAGAAAAAAAATCTTTAAAAATCTTTCTCTCAAGAACAACAAAGCCACAATTAGTCATATTGATATGGAATCATTCTTAGGTAGTGTAGATTAAAGTTTGTTCAAATCATGACCCCCAGGGGTAGGGTGGGACCACAATGGGCGATCAAATTTACATAGGAATATACAGAAAAAAAACTTGAAAAATCTTCTTCTCAAGAACAGCAATGTCACAATTAGTCATATTGATGTGGGGTAGGGTGGGGCCACAATGTGGGATCAAATTTTTACATAGGAATATATAGGAAAAAATGTTTTCATTAACAGAAAAGTCATGTTTAGTCATATTGATAAGGAAGCATCCTCAGGTAGAGTAGATTCAAGTTTGTTCAAATGAGGGGGGGGGGGGGGTCCACAATGGGGGATCAAAATTTTAACAAGGGAATATATAGGAAAAAAATCTTTAAAAATCTGCTGCTCAAGAACAGCGAAGCCATTTGTTATATTGATATGGAAGCATCCTCAGGTAGTTCATAATCCAAGCCCCCCTTTAAACTTTTCAATACTGAAGTGATTTGTGCTTTTTCCTAGCCAATGTGCTCAGGTGAGCGATGTGGCTCATGGGCCTCTTGTTTCCCAGTGCAAAGCATATGTCTTTTGTTTTTTGTTTTTCAAATCTTCTAATTGTAGGACACATTAATGCAGCACATAATCAATATTTTTCTCCCCCCCCCCCCCCCCCCCCCCCGAGTCAAACTCAGTGGTTTCAAGCTCTAAATTTGAATTAAGGTACCTTTTTCATTACAGAGACATTATGGGAATGGTGACTGTTGGCAATATGATGGCTCAGGTCGTGAGGTCTAAGATCAAACCCTCAGATCCAGTTTCTAAAGTCATGTACAAACAATTCAAAATGGTATGAATATTTTGGTTACCCATTTTTACCCATTTGCTTCTCAAACAATTGATCCAGATGATATAATGTCTGTGTACTTTCTTTATATTTTCAGGTATCCATGGCAACAAGTTTAGGAGAAATTTCAAGAATGCTTGATACTGACCACTTTGTTTTGGTTGTTCATGGACAAAGACAATGTAAGTTCATCATTAGGTGTACATTTATAGCTATATTTTCTTAATTAGAATTGAATAATTGTAATCACAGCTGAGTGAGGTACATGTATCAGAGAATTTATTTTCAGATGAAGGTAATAACTTAATGTCCAAAAAACAGATGATTTTTGGCATTGCCACAAGGATAGATCTGCTAAACTTTATCACACAGCACCAGAAACTTGAAAACCAGTGAACATTAGATGAAGGAAGCAAATTCAATCTGGGACCAGATAGTTATTATTCTAATATTATATGTTTAATCAAATTGTTTATGTTTGTCTTTTGAATCAAATCAGATTTTTCATTTATTTTTACATTTCACACCAAAGGAAAGTTATCATAGCTGTCCTAAGTTTCTAAATATTAACTAATATAATACATGTATATGTTTACCAAATAATTCGCTTTCTCTTTATTTACTTTTTTTGGTTGTTGAGTTGGGTACTATTGAATTTCAGTATGTCAGACATTGACATCTGAATTATTATGATTTTTAGTTTTGAAAAAAAATGTCAAACATTGATATTTTTGTAATGAGTTTTTTGTTTGGAAAAGTCTTTCTTTTCTTTTTGGACATGTTGGTGCACAAATCCATTATTTGTAAAGTGAAATAAAAATGTCATCATATTTATTATACCCCCCGCAAACGAAGTTTAGGGAGGGGGTATATTGGAATCACCATGTCCGTCTGTCTGTCCGTCTGTCTGTAGACGAGATTTTGTCCAGGCCGTTTCTCGGAAACTATTGCAAGGATTTGTCTGAAAATTTGTACACTTATTATTCACCATATGAAGGTGAGCACCTGGTTTTTTCATCATGATTGGATTATTTTTCTGCATTTTACAGGTGTTTTTTTCATTTTTATTGTGTGGTTTTGTCCGGACCTGTTCTCAGAGGCTATTACATAGATTTGTATGAAAATTTGTACACTCATTATTTACCATATGAAGATGTACACCTGGTATTTTCAACATTATTTGATAATTTTTCTGCATTTTACAGATGTTTTTTTTTTTCATTTTTATTGACTTAGTCATTATGGGTTTATAAATGTCTAAGGTTTGAGACATAGAATCTAGAACATCTGAAGTGTACAAAAATGTGAACTACAGCTTAAAACTACTCATTAAAACTAAAAAAAAATACATCACCAGGTATTAAAAACAGTTTTTACATTACACAGCAGATAGTGTAAATCCATTTGTCCCTTGGGAGTAATGAGTGGACATGCATCCAGTTAAAGATTAATTAATGAGTTCAGTGTGGGAAGTTGTTAGGGCATCGCTGATCAAGCAGGTGTTATCTATATCTCCTGGGAATTTGGCAAAAGAGTTAAAGATTTCTGTTCTCTAATTCTCTTAATTGTTATTTATTGTCCGTCAAAGTACTGACCAGCTTTTTATTTATAAAATAAATTTGATGTAAAGTTATCAAGATTAATTTGATTTTGTATAATACATGTATGTTGTTTTTTTCCCTCAACAATCAATTTCAGTGTCATGTCCCACAAAGATGAAAGATAGTTGCAATGTATTAAAAAACATAGTAATTACAATATATTAGTGTTGCTATTTTATTAGGTTGCACCTTAGTTTCATTCATTTAAAAAAATATAATGAGCAATTATATTTTTACTCTAAATGTTTATAAGAAAATTGTGAATATAACCACTTAGATCCATAAAATATTAGTAATTTGGCACCTTTTCCTAAAAAACCCAGCGGGGGGTATTTGTCCCTTTTGGACAGTTCTAGTTATTATTGAAAGGGTGATCATGATCAAATCTTTTTATTTCTTTTGGTGCATGCAAGTATTTGTAACATGCCAAGGTTGACAGAGAAATAAGAATTGAGAATTTCCATAGGTAAATACTGTCTGGCAAAATATGCCAGAGTTAGACAAAAACAGGAAATTCTGGGAAGTAAATTATTCTTATGCATTAAGTGATTTGCTCTGACATTCAATTTTTATGCATAATAACATTTGAATTTTTATATTAATATGGTACACCATTAAAGAAATGGTTTGGGATTAAAGAATATTGCAATATTTACAGATGGTTCTTGCATGTGAGTTCAAGTTGGTAATTCATTCACAACAAAATTAGAACTTCTTTCTCATAAAGAGAATATTTTGCATTGACAACTAAAAAACAATGCTAGAAATTTAAATGCAGATCTTTTTAAAATTATAATCTCAAAGATGATTTATCATTGATTTTTGTGGAAATGGATATGAAGACTATTCTTACTTTCATGAAGTCCCAAAAATTGATCTCCCCAATTATCTGGACTATCATATTGTTGAACAAAAATAAGTGTACAAGTTCTATTGAATGGTACTGATGCTTGTTTATTGAATTTATGTTAAAAACCTTTTTTTTTCTTAACAATTTTATACATATGCACTGTACAGAAAAAAGAGTATTTTGGCTAAGACTACATCTAAGTATTATCTACAGTGTCAAATTGTGTGCATAATGATATGAATTTCACCAACCTTTCTGAATGTAGTTATAGCCTTTTGCTTTGCTTTTACAGGTAATTTACATAATGGTTAAAAGATACTATTTTGTAATTTAGGTTATTTACTTAGTGGTTACAGAATATTGTTTTGTAATAAGGTAATTTACAGAAGGATTACAGAATATTGTTTTATAATTAGGTAATTTACATAATGGTAACAGAATATTGTTTTGTAATTAGGTAATTTTACATAATGGCTATAGAATATTGTTTTGTGATCAGGTAATTTACATAATGATTACAGGATATTGCATTGTAATCAGGTAATTTACATAAAGTTTACAGGATATTGTTTTACTGTTGGAGAGAACAGGGTAACTCTTAGATCCACTGTTCAATCTTCTTCACTTCTGAGTAAAATATTTATTGAATTAAGTCACAAACCATAAATGATGAGTGAAAATAACTTTTGAGTAGACAGTTTTCAGTTTATATAAAATTTTTATCATGACAATACATGTATTATGATGTCAAACTTGACAATGGATGTTACTGTAAATGTACTTTATTTGTCACCTCCCTCACCTATCCTCTTTACACCCGCTGGCACATAAGGCCCCAATACACTTCCTCCACCTGCCTCTGTCTTTGGCTGCTGCCCTCACTGACGCCCAGCTATTCCAACCTAGTATTTTATTTGTGGTGAACAGTATTTGACAGAAATTGGTTTTTCAACAAGTTAGTGTAGATCTGATTTACTATTTTTCTGTATATGCTTTATATGCATATATTTACACAAGACATTAAGTAATGTTCATGTACTTGATTAGCTAAAGCTGTTGTCCACGAAAAGCATTAAATAGAATACACAGCATAGTGTAATATGTTTACAGTATTATGTTGTTTTTAAAAGAAAAAATAATAAAGTCTTTTTTTTCTCCATATAGATATGTATAAGTTTACTGACTCAATTTCATGACAATGTTTCCTAGAATGGTCACGGTTGTGATTTTTCAATTTTGTATGCAACAATTTTGCCCTGTACATGTATGTTCATGTTTATAAATGGAATCTCATATTTTATACTCCCATGAAAGTATGGAAAAGTGATCAAAATGTAGTTATTTTATATTCATATAACATAAAAAGAAGGCAGTGTCTGTAAATTATATCTACATAGTTATATAGAAATTATTAAAAATAAAGACTTGTGCACATTATGATAAATTATGTAGAACAAATACAGTTTACTAATTTAATGCATGCATGCCTCTTATTTCATACACATTGGACCTGAAGCCTTTCATTTTTAAATTCTTTGAAATTTTATTTTTATTGTACATATACATGTATCTAGACTCAATGAAATTATTTTTGAAATGTAAATCTGAGCATAATACAATGTATGACATTTACATGCTTCTGCTATATCTGCACCATTTTTTCCTGATTTATATATTTTTTCCCAATTTATGATATATTGAGACTTGAGAGGGTTTTTCTTTAACGGAATAATGTTTGATTCAAAGAAATAAACAACTACAAACCATTGATGTATTTTACATTTCTTTTGCCACAGTACGTCAAGCAAATGGCCTTCAGAGCTCTACCAATTATGCAAAGACTGTGTGTTTTATTCATGAACAATGCTGGGTTTTAAAACTTTCTAAAATGTCTTATTAAATTAGATTTTAAATAAAAAATTGAAAGGAACATCCTGTTCAAAGTCTTCCCGTGGTGAGTAGGGGAAACAAAGTTTTATGCATGATTGTATAATTTTGTACTTTTAATCAACCTGTACATGCAGCTGACTAACGAAAGAGGCAATGTAGCAGTAATGTACATGTATATACTTTTAAATGTAGCGGTAATGTAACCTTTTTGTAGCGGTAATGACAATTTTGAAAATGTAGCGGTAATGATACGCACCCCATTATTAAAATTATATTTCAGAGGAACTGGGATTTAATTCTACAAGAGGTAATCCAACTTATACCCATAGCTCCCTTTCTAAGGAGGAAATTCTTCAAAATCATATGTCATTGAATATTTTTAATATTCCCAACAACCAAAATGAATTTGAATTACCATATCTATATTGGATTCCGAAACTTCATAAAAATCCTTACAAAGATACATAGCGGGTTCCAGTACCAAGCCTCTTTCTTTACTCCTCTAAAATATTAACAGTAGTGAAGAAGAAACTTCAGGAGTACTGTGCAACAATGTATTCGAGAAGTGATGTAAATCAGATTTGGATACTTTAAAATTCCAAGGAACTTTTGGAAAATTTGAATTTACAAAATTTTACTAAAATCAACAACATAAAAACTTACGACTTTTCAACTTTATATTCAACCATTCCCTACGATAAATTAAAGTCCAGGGTTTTTGACATCATTGACAGCTGCTTTTTTCAATGAAAATGGAACGCGTAAATTTACTCACCTTGTCATTGGTCATTTGCAAAATTATTTTGTTAAAAAACATTCCGATTGTATACACAAGTACCCTGAAGTTGACATTAAAAATATGCTTGAGTTTCTGATTGACAATATCTATGTGGTTTTTGGAAACCATGTCTTCCAACAATCTATTGGGATTCCCATGGGTACCAATTGCGCTCCGTTATTAGCAGACCTTTTTTGGTATTCATATTGTCCAAAATCTTATACATGAAAAGAAGAAAACACTTGCTGTGGCATTCAACTCGACATTTAGATATATCGACGACGTATTGTCAATTAACAATGGTTATTTCCATTCTTATGTCGATACGATATATCCAGGTGAGCTTGAGATAAAAGATACCACAGGGTCTGACACATCTGTTTCATATTTGGATATTTTACTTGAAAAAACGTTAATGGTAATCTAATAATCAAGCTTTATGATAAACGTGATGAATTTAACTTTTCAATCGTCAGCTTCCCTTAC